CCAAGACCTCCACAATAAGTTGTCGGAGGAAACCAGACGCGCAGACATCATGGCGTTTGAGATGAAAAAGTTGGAAGAGAAGCATGAAACTGTGTTGAAGGAAAAAGAGGTTCAACATCTTATAACATTTCACCATTAATATGTACTATATATTGGCTTTGCTTAACACTTTTCTCTTAAAAAAAAACAAAACACAACTTTACACCGTTAGCGTATCATCATTGAACGAGATTCTCTGAAGGAAATCAACGAGGAGCTGCGATGCACTCAGGCTCAACAGGACCAGCTCTCACAATCAGGTACTTATCAATCAATTAATGATGCTTTTTATTATTTACTAACTTATTTAGTATCTAAAGTTCTGTGGAAACTTTAGAAATTAGAGTGAATTATCCTCACTCTAATTTTTTTTTTGTCAATCAAGCATGTTTCAAATAAATTAATAAATAATCAGCCTGACAACAACAACTTATTAGGTTTATAGGGCAAGGAAGATAATTTTATTATCTTGTTCTTCCAAATTGACTTAAATTGTCAGAAACTTGCATTTTCTGTTTACTGACATTATCTTTGTCTGGCTGGAACATATAAGTATGGCAAAAAAGAGAGGAAAACTGTAAGGGAGTAAATACTTTTTTTTCACATCACTGTACCTTTTTGTACTTAGGAATCCTTCCCTCTGGCAGCCCCAGCCATGAAAACCTGGCAGCTGAATTAATTCCCGTTGAGTACAGGTAGTATTTTACTGCTTCATTGTATGCATTTCTATTCTCTCTGCTCCAATGTTGTGTGCGTGATTACTGACTGTCGTGGTTATTTAGAGAAAAGGTCATCAGACTGCAGCATGAGAACAAGTTGCTGAGAGTGCAGCAGGACGAATATGAGCAGCAGAAGATTGCCACGCTGCAGACCCAGCTGGAGGCAGCTGAGAAGAGTCACAGCAAACTGGACACAGAGAACAGGTGTGCTTCATTCGTGCTCCTCGGTGTCGATTCTCTTTGTGCAGAATCGACACGATTGACGTTTTTCTGTTTGCCGCTTCGTCTTCAGATTGAGCCAAGAGCGCATCAGTGAGCTGCAGCAGCAGGTGGAAGATCTGCAGAAGGCTCTGCAGAGTCAGGCTGCCAAACCAGATGATGTGAGGGTGCAAACATGCTCTGTCAGCAAAACACAGAGTTACAATGTAATCTGAAGCTGGATGGGAAAAAATTATAATTGAGTGAGAGAGATCAGGGAGTGAAAAATATTAAATTTTTTTCTTCCTGACGAATGCTTTTTCACTCCCTTTCTTACTCAATTACTTAGTGACTTAATTACTTAAGTTGCTAGTTACTAACTTAAATATTTGGTTAATTTTCTTATGTACTTGGTTAGTTGCTCACTTAAGTATTTAATTACCTGCTGTTAAAGTAGTTTGTGTATTTAGTTACTAGGGCTCAATTACTTACTTGCATAATTAGACATTTGAGTTTGAAAAAGTGATATGGACATGAGAAATGAGAGCGAGCTTTCAATAGAGAGGCTTCATCCAGGATGTTATGCTCCGTTTTGACATATATTTTTCATTTTCAGTCCAATCTAAAGAGGAAACTGGATGCTCACATGTAAGTGAGTTTGCTCCCAGATAGAAATACAAGCTTGTGTTCTCCAGTAGGTGGAAGTGGATCACTTGTTTCTCCTCAGGTCCCAGCTGAACGACGCTCAGGATGAGATCATGAAGAAGAAAGAGCTTCTGGAGGACCTTCAGCCTGACCACACCCAGACCTGTACGGTTTAAAACTTTCAGTGCAGTTGTGTTGTGCTTTCAACATGCAATAGAAAACTGATTTGTTGCTTCTCAGCTTTGAAAGTGGATGAGCTGATGGCTGCTCTGAAAAAGAAGGACGATGACATGCGGGCCATGGAAGAAAGATACAAGATGTATCTGGAGAAGGCTCGCAACGTGAGTTCAATTAATTTAGCATCAGTAACTCTTAAATGTGGGGTGAAATGAAGTTGCTTATCAGTATTTCATCTTGACCTTTACTTTTCCCTTGAAGGTAATCCGAGCCTTGGACCCCAAGCTGAATCCTGCCACTGCTGAGATCCAGGCTCTCAGAAGCCAGCTGGCAGATCGGGACAAACAGATTCTCAACCTTGAAGTAATTGCACTTTGATTTAATTGATTCTAGTAGAAGTTTGCAATCAATTTGAGTATAGCGTCCATGAATTGTGATGTTGAATGCGTTTATTTTTCTTCTTCTTCTTCTTAGCGTCAATGTGAGCAGGCCAGGCTAAAAGAGAATGAGGAGAAGCTGATTGTTTCAGCTTGGTATAACAAAGTGAGTCCTATCAGCTTTAATTAAAAATGCATACAATTCACATTTTACAGTGGTGGCATTTACTGAAGTGATTGAGAGAGCTTTAAAACAATATCAGACTTGGACAGCAGTGTAAAAAAACACAATGCTCATATTCTTTTTGCAGACATTGACTAAGTTGTAACACATTTCTGTTTGGGCTCTAGTTTCTGACACTAGACAAGGTTGATCTTGTTAATATGCAGCTAGTTTCATGCAGAACCAAAATAATGCAGAACCAACCATAATATTCATCAGTAGCGATTCAATAACAGTCAAAATAAAATGTCTAACTTTATACTGAACAGTAAATGCACCGTAGCAGTCGCTAAAATATCATGCTGTCAACAACCGTCTTCATTCTGGGGGATGTTTCTGCGAGAAGATTTGGTTAACTATGTTCAGTTCTCTATCGGTGGGATGTAAATAAATAAAGTTAAAGGAAGCACTGAGGAATCAAAGCTGTTTCAAGTTTACTGATGCTGTGAGACATCGAGTGAGAGCTAAACTTTCAGCAGATAACATGAAGTTGCTTTGATTTAGCTTGTTGAAAATAAATAAATCCTTTCAGTGGTTGAAGCTAACAGTTTCATCTGACGCTAAAAGTTCAGAAGAACTCAGAATAAGAAGTGTTTAAATCACTAAGCTATCAAAGCCACATAAGCAGATATTAGGAGGCTGTTGTTACATTTAGTGCTGTATTTTTTTTCCCCAGCTGAACATCGTCTATGTTTTCATATGTTTACCTTTGTCAAGGCCGGCTATCAATCAGCGAAGAAGATATTTTTGTTTCCCATTCTTTCCTGGCGACTGCTCTCACACGTGATGTTGCCTTCGCATTGAGATAATGAATGATTGCTTATAAGAGGCAGAAGTGCTGTTTTTAGGACTTTTGGTATTATTGTTCTCTAAAAAGACAGACGAGGCTAATTATGATCAGCACATCTCTACTAGTGACATTTTCAGTTTTCCTTTAAATCAATGAGTCCAATTTACCTCTGGTTTTTGTGCTATTAGAGTTTGCACTTTCAGAAGTTGGCCATGGAATCTCGTCTCGGAGGCCGCGCTGCCGCCACGTTCTCCCCCGGCCAGTCCTTCCTGACGCAGCAGCGGCAAGTCTCAAATGCCCCACGCAGGGCCGCTTCCGTCAGCGTGCCTGCCACTACCTCCAATTAGACCGTCACAGCACCTCACATCCATTAAACTAGGCAAAAATACACAGAGGTGGAAGCACTCAAGTGACCTTAAACGCCTCTGCTGTCAGCCTTTGAGGAGGGTCAGACTGCGCCTGATCAGTGATCACTTATCAAACCCATCCCAGGTCAAAGCAGAGGTTGTGTTGGTATACCTTGCTGTACATTAGCCTGAAGGACAGCCTTGCAGAGACTTTACCCCGAGTCGACCTCACAAGCCAAAGCTAGATGTAGATTTGCAACGACTATCCTCTCTACCCTGTGATTTAAAAAAAAATTTTTTTTTCTTTTCCACCCTTTTTAGCTTTTATAGCATCGCTCACCTTGTATTGAGTTAAGGTCAGAAGTAAAAGGGAAAAAGTTATTGTGGAAATAAGGCCTGCTATTTTAGTTTTAGTGTAAATGGTGACTTTAATTGCTGAAATCCAATCAAATGAAATGATTGTACAAATATTTGAGAAATGCACATCACAGTGGGGACACTTGAGAAGGTGTGGTGTAATAAAGCAGCATGAATAGTCTTGATCCAGCCATATCTGGTGCAGGCCACCAAGGATTTCAAAATATTAAACAGACACTTGTAGTTTTCTATAATTGAAAAGTTCATAATTTCAAATGCTGTTGAAACAAATTAAGTCATATTAACTCTAATTAACACTTGAGGTGCTGCAATAAGAAATCTGGGAATAGCAATCAATCAATTTGCTTTTTCTTTATATACTCTTGATGGGAACTGATGGGCCTTTTTGTTCACTGTGTGTGTTGATTATTTAAGTCAATAAATATGTTACTGATACAGAAATTAATGATTCAACACCAGCTTTTCAACATGCAGCCATCACATCCAGGTCGAACACTTTTACAGCTCCTGCAAATTGTAACACTAAAACTTTTCATACATGTCAATGTTTTCTTTTAGGATGCTGATTAAAAGAACATTTTGAAAAGCACTTATTGTCTTTTGCGCTGAAAGTGATCAGTCTGACCCCATGTAGTTAAATGTCCACCAACCTTCAAAAATACAACCACAATCGCAGGCGGATTTTATGGTGACCTTTTGAAGATGGACTATTATAAAGTTCTTTACAAATATCTGAAAAGTGAGGAGTGCCTATATATTCAGTCCTGAGTCAATACTCTGTCAAACCATCTTTCACTGTGATCTCAGTTATGAATGCAGAGTCGATACAAAATGCTTCTCACTTTTCAGATATTTACTTAGTCAAAATCTGTTATTCTTCATATTGTGTCACAAAACATCCCCAAAAAATCCATTTGTGTTTTTAGAAGGTGTGTGAACTCCTTTACAAGACATTGCAAGCTGTTCAGGTTTATCAGTCTCTTTATTGCCTTTCCTCTGTTTATTGTCAGCAGCACATGAGATGTTCTGTTATGTGGCCACATGGGGTTTATAGATGTATGTCACTTGAATCTCTTTCTTTGCAGCTAATTATTGTAAATTGCTGACTTAAGGGCATAGTCATTTAATAACATAGACTGTACAATCAGGTAGAAGGCACACAGAAACATGCATAACGCTAAATGTTTGTGAGTAACTTATTAAAGAAATGTCTGATGAATTTTAGAAAATGTTATTGCTTTTTTGCTGAATAAATTCGTTTCCAAAAAATTGCAGTGAATTCTTCTTTATTTCCAATAAGATGTCAATTCTCAGTAGGTTATATTAAGGAAGCCGTGACTAATAAAAGAAGGCAATTAAATTATCACATCATCCAGCATCAGTCTATTAACAACAACAACAACAAAAAAAATGCAGAAATTAATCCAATAATAAACTCAATTCGTCGACAGGTTCTCAAAACGAAAACCTTGTGAGTAAATCATGGGGTCACATGAGTTTGAGAAGATTGATAATGGTTGATTAAAATAAATGTTGCTAATTGGATAAATTATTACATATAGATTTGTCTGAACAAGGAGAAAGTTCCATCAACATTGCCTAGTTAAAAATGCTGATGTTTCTGCAATTTGCCAAAGTGACAATAGATGCATTTTCACAAAGTGCCTATTGTCCATCTTGCAGCTTATGTTTCATCGCATGTAACCGTCAAGTCAAAGCGGGATTTTGCAAGGATCTTGAATGGATGTGGTGTGCGTGTGGCTCCAGTTATCCCTTCTGTACTCAGCTCAACGCCGTCCGGAGAGGAAAAGTGAAACTTCTGGAATAAGATGACAAAAAACAGGAAGAGTTCCATCCTTGCCAGACCTTCACCGAGACACGCTCGCTTCCCTGAGAAGAGAAAAAAGGTGCCCTCATCATTATTCTTTAAACATTATCCTTAGATCGGTATTACCAGCGTGTCTTTCCTGTTCAAAATCCTAATTCCAAACTAAATTTATGTGCAAAGTTATCACATTCATGCTGTTGTTACCCGCGGAGAAAGGTAAAAATGCTTCCTTCCTTATGAACCTGCCGTCTTCGTCCAGGAAGTGTTTGGGGTTGAAACTGTCAGGGGTTTCCCATTCGTTCTTGTCAAAAAGAACAGAGGTCAGGTTAGGCATCACAGCCGTCCCCTGCAAAGAAAGAGGGAGCAAAACAGATTTATTAAACGACAACATAGGGAGAAAATCATATGCCTTCCAAAAAGACAGGAAACTGAGAAAATAATTCTGCCACGGGCTCATTTATTGGATACTATTTTTTACATAATGTGTGAAGTGTTTTTGTGTCTGAACAATGTTGGTCAGTTACATTGTCCTTTACAAACAATGAAAAACAGAAAGGCCCCAAAAAACCCTAACAATTTAAATGATTACAACACTTAAAATCTGGAAGTGGTCTTGAAAAGAATAATGCAAATACTGGTTGCAGAAGAAAAGAATAGAAAAAAAAAATCCAAATATAGAATGTTGTGAAGACAGTTTTTCAGAAGTTTGCTAATGTGTTGTTGCTTCAAGCTTTTGCTTGAAGCAACAACATTCAAATGTGAGATCCTGCAGACGTGTTCGGGGGGATGACCCGACACACCTTTGGTATGAAGTAACCGCTCAGCACTGTGTCCCTGGCTGCCATCCTGAGTGCGTTGAGGGGAACAATGTTTCCCATCCTTTGGATCTCGTGGATAACAGCGTCAGTGTAGGGCATGTTGGTTCTGTCCGCCATGGTGGGCTGGCGGCTCTGTCCGACAACTTTGTCTATCTCTTCCTGGACTCTGTCTAGAAAGGAAATGAAACCACATGCGGTAGTCTTCCTCTGGTGATTTGATCTGTTGGTGAACATGGTTCTGATCTGAGCTCACCCTGGATGTGAGGATGGTTTATAAGGTACAGAAGTCCCCACTGCAGAGACTTTGAAGTCGTTTCACTGCCAGCCAAGAACAGATCAAGACAACACAGAACCAGGTTTTCTTCCACAAATCCCACATCCTGGTTCCTGTTGTGCTGTTGAGCAAAAACGAAGAGATGCATACACAATCAGGATCTTAGATGTGATATTTCACAATCTTTTTTTTTTTTTTTAGTTGAACCAAAACGAGTCCCATACTCTTTCCTCTATAAGGAAGTTGTCGATGTAATCTCGTGGGTTGCTTAGATCCAGATCCAGCTTGTGTCTTTCTATCTCTTTCCGGATGGATTCCTTCAGAGATCTGGAGCTGCTGAAGATGCCATTGTGAGGCCCTGGCAAGTGTCTCATTATTGCTGGGAAAGCATCATAAAGCTGTTAAGAGAGACAAAATAAGGGTGTCAAAATCTACTGACTGCAAAAGAATGTATTACTTTCTGACTTTTACACTATGAGTGGAATTTTAGAGAATAGCTTCTTTTAATACTTTGTATAATTTGGGGAAAATATTACGGTAATCTTCTTTTGTAGCAACAGTTGCGCTCATGTGAGGCAGATTGTTTCTCGCCCTCCTTACTGGAACTTGAGGAGAGTTTGGATAAGAATGAAGCACTCCTCCATTTTCAGTGTTTCAAAGCTCTCTGCTAACATCTTAATGCTGAGCCAGAAACATTCCCATAAACCCTGGGAGAAACTTTTCATAACTCGGGTAAAGTGGGAAGTAACTAGACTGAACATGTCTGCTTGCTATTCTCCTTCTTGGAAGAATTTATAAAGTGCTGTTTGAGTTCAAATCACCAACATCTGTTTGGTAACTTGGTGTGAATGTCTTTTTTTCATCTTTTTTTCCATTCTCGTACACCCTCTCTGCATCTTACCAGGGCCCATATTGAGCCTTCCAGGTAGGCTATGTCTGTCAGATTCCTCAGCATGCTCTGGAGGTCCTGGTCACTGTAGTCAAACCTTCTCCCAAACACAATCTGGCAGATGATGTTGGACACAGCATTGTTCAGAAGAGGCACCGGGTCGAAGGCTTTACCTAGTCAGAAGACAGAAGTCTTTAAATATAAGACGCAATCTGTGCAAAAATCGACTCTGTTTTTCGCTGCTGTCAACCTTCCTCCTTCTGCATGGCCTCCTGCAGGTGTCGACTCTCCTGACAGATGTTCTTCTCCGTGGAGCCCTTGGCCATACCAAAGGTGCGCAACATGGCCATGGCGAAGCGCCGCTGTCTCCTCCACACCTTCCCATTGCTAAAGAAAAGACCACCTAGAAAAGGCAAAGACATCGAATATTTCTCAAGTGTTGGTTGCCCCGACGCTCTACATCTGACCCACCTGAGTTTCCTGAGTAAATCCTGGTTGCCATTGGACTGTGAGGCCGGTCTGCAAAGTTTTCTGCCTGTGATACTAAAGCCTCTTTCACCGTCTTCCATCCGGACAAGAACACCGTTTTGTGTCTTCCCAGACGTATGCAGAACACATTCCCATAAACATCAGCAAGCTGTGGTAGCAGAATCAGAGTAGAAGGGTTCTATTGTGGAGCATGTGACTCTAAAATAATGCAGTCAATTTGTTGTTGACACCGTGACTGATAATTCTTTTTTTTTTTCTGTTGTTGCATTTTTTGTATTAAAACATCTCTTGAAAAAAAGTAAGAAATGGTAGACATTTATGAAAATTAGCAACAATCGTGCAAAAATGCTGGATCACCAATATCTTATTATTTCTGCTTCTTTTTCCTTTTTATTTACCTTAGTGAGGTAAATATGAGGCTGCTTGGATTCAATGCTGAAGATGTTCCCAAAAAAAGGAAGAGCAGGCGGTCCTGGTGGGAAGTGAGGTGGATCCTGTTTGTTGAGCAAATTTACGATGATCAGGATTACAAAAATCAAAATCAGCATCCATCTGAGACTGAACCACTGACACAAGCTGCAGAGCCACATTGTCACAGTGAGGAGAGGAGGGAAGAAAGAAGGCTTATCAAGATTTCTGTCCACATGGTTCTGAGGTGGGCTGGTCCTCTGCTGACTCCAGGTCTGGTAAATGTGAAGTGCGTGACTGAATCAGTCCACTCACTCGTTTGTAATGTGCATCTGCTTTGGTCAGCTGAGTTTCACGGATTTGCGGTTTGTTTGTGTTTTACGGTATTTCAGTAGTATGAACATTTGTTATGAACGTTCAGATAGATAATTAAAGACTGCAGGACATTTTTATGTCAAAAGTGAAAAGTGCACGTTTGCCTTTCTTACTGGAACCAACCAGCAGATGTCAGCAAAGTAAAATATTTGTGCATTTAAAGCCATGATGTGAAGTAGGAATAAATTACTGATGATCTGGTTAGCAAGAAACAGTTTTCTCTTTAAAATGTCTGCTACTAATAATAAATACATAATTTAATTAATACATGTCTTGCACGCCAGCCATTTTGGGTTTTTGCAGCATTTTTGAAAAGAGCAGACTTTACACGTACCAAATGTCATATATTTGTAATAATCCCCCTAACTAGTCGTGCACTGCATGTCAAGGGTGTAAAGACAAAAGGAAAGGACTGCCTCTTTTTCTGTGGCCGAACCTCTTGGAGAGGATGATTTTATGGCAGGACGGAGAGCCGGTAAGGATTTCAGGAGAAACGTCTAATTCTTCTTTGTCAGTTACTCCTGGGTGCAGGTCAGACAAGGGTTCAAACTACATCCCACACATGTCAGACCTTCAAGACAATTATCAGGCTAAGCATTTTACCCAAGATGTCTTCAGGTTTCTTATGCCATCAAAGCTGGGGAAACATCGAGACATTATCTGGAAACTTCTTTAATGAAAAAACGTATTTTGCAGAAATACCAAGACGCAGCAGATATAATCAGTAAGATAAAACAAGGATAAAAACGAAGCTTTATATTGCAGCATAATAATTGTTGCATAGTTATTTCTCGTGCTCTGAAGCCGAAACAAAGTTGTTATAAAATAATTCCTCAACAATACAGTTTATCCATTCAGTCTGTATACAAATACACACATTTCTGTATTTGGTATGTTCTTTTTACTTTGTTCAATAAAATGGAGGACGCAAACATTTTGCAAACAATTTTTTCAGTTTCAGATTTATTTTTAGGACGAGGCTGCTGTTTAAGACAAATTCTTGCTCAGCCCTATTTGGAGTCAAGGTAAAGTCGTCAATGGTGATTAACGCGAACCTCACTCAACATGCCAAAATCATTATAGTCGGTCTTCTGATGAGCAGAAACAAGTTTGGTGAAAAGTGCTGAGCTCAGCGGACCTGAGCAGACACCCGGTAGGGATGAGGCACTCGGGTTGTCCCATTCCCTCGGTGCTCAGCTCAACTCCGTCAGGAACAGAGAAAGTGAACTTCTGCAGTAAGCCAACGAAGAACAGGAAGAGCTCCATCCTGGCGAGGCTTTCACCGAGGCACACGCGTTTCCCTGCAGAGCAAACACACATTAAAACACCATGTTTTAATATGAGGAGTGAGATTATTATTCATAACCTAGATGGAGCACTAAAAACAAATTTTATCAAAGGTTTGCATTAATCTTAGTCAGTCTCATCCCATGCAACCAAGCCCTGCTGGTTTGACATTGGTCAACAATGGTTGACATTAGTTACATGACGTTGTGGGCTCGACATTTTGGTCATGGTGACAACTCAATGACAGTTCATAAATATCAGAGTGCTGTACCTGCAGAGAACGGGAGGAAAGCTTCCCTCTTCACAAACTTCCCATCGGCATCCAGGAAGTGTCCGGGATTGAAGGTGTCTGGAGTTTCCCACTCAGATTTGTCAAACAGTACAGATGTCAACATGGGCATTAAATGTGTGCCCTGAAAGGTCCAAAGTATCAGTCAATCATTGAGGAGAAAATACCTTTTAAAACAGTCACTATTTACTGCTCAGTGACTTTACCTTTGGTATGTAGTATCCACCCAGAGTTGTATCATTGGCAGCGACCCTGAATCCATTCAGAGGAACAATGTTTCCCATCCTCTGGATCTCATGGATCACAGCGTCAGTGTACGGCAGGTTCTGTCTGTCGGCCATGGAGGGCTGGCGACTCTGTCCGATCACTCTGTCAATCTCTGCCTGGACTTTTTCTGTGTAAGGATTTAAATATGAGGAATTAGGCTTCGACTGGTGAGAGAGATTTCATTTTTCCGTTTAAAACTAGGCATGTGTTTTATTTTGATTCGTGTCATTGAGAGAGTAGACACAGCCGAACTCTCTGCAGAGCTTATTGACTTTGGAAAAGAGCATTTCAGCATATTTCCATTACATTTGACAAGCATGTTGTATTCAGTGGTGCAGCTCTTCTCAACAAACCGGTTCTGTAAATGGTCAGAACTTGATTTAGCAAGTGAAAATGTTGAAATACTGTTATATTTTGCTTTTTATTTGTTCAGTTATCAAAAAATATGTTAAAAAAAATGTTAATGCTTCTCCACAACATCATATCTAACCTGTCTGGTGTGTATCCTGGTCTTTGTATTTCTTTTTTGTCAGAATAAACAGCTGATGGATCTCTATATTTAGCAGAGGGCTATAAACCCAGTCAGGAGATCAATGGCCTGCCTGTATTTTCAGATGCAGGTTCCAACAAACCGGAATCTAATGAATGGCTCGTTGCCTTTGCTAAAATAATTTTATTTTGCGGTAACTTATCTGATTATTTTTTAAAGTCATTTTCAATGACGCAGATGATGTTGGTCCAACACATAAAGTGTCCCTAAAATTTGTGGTCGCAGTGGTCACTTTGTGGAAAGTCACTCACCTTGAACCTCAGGGTATTTTGTTAGGTAAAGCAATGCCCAAAGCAATGTGGTGGCTGTTGTTTCTGTTCCTGCCACCAGGAGGTCGAAAGAGCAGAAAGCCAGGTTGTTCTCTGTGAAGCCCAGGTTAGAGTCTTTGTGCTGCACCGACATATAAACACATTGATTAATGAGTCAATCCTTGACGGGAATCGCTTTGGTTCAAGTGAAACGGCTTCAGTGGTGGTGGTCTACGTACGTTCTCCATTTCAATGAGGAACGTGTCGATGTAGTCTCTGGGGTTGCTGGGATCCAGATCCTTCTTGTGCCTTTGTATTTCCTCAAGAAGGAAATCTTTTACTGCGCCATAACAGCTAAAGATTTTGTTGTGAGGACCCGGCAGATATTTCATCACTTGAGGAAATGCGACATAAAGCTGTTCGTATTGACAGGAATGATAGAACAACAAACCCGTCATGATCAAACTCTCGCCTGTCAGAATCAGTGACACAGAGCAGCTTCATTCAGAGCTAACAGGCTTACCTGACCCCAAACGTTTCCTTCATGCTGAACACCTTCAGACATGCACTTTAGCATCATTTGAAACTTGTGGTCATTGTAGTCAAATCTTTTCCCCATAACAAGCTGGCAAACGATGTTGGAGACGGCATTGTTAAAGAGGCCTGCTGGGCCGAAGGGTTCACCTGAAGAAGGGTTTTCAAGAATAAACATATTTACAAAAAACAGCCTTGCCCAATAATATCAGTAAAGTAGCCTTTACATTGATTCTAACCCACCTTTCTCACTCTCTATTTCCTCCTGCAGGTGTCGGATCTCCTCACAGATGCTGAGCTCCAGTGTGTTTTTGCCCACACCAAAGGTGCGTAAAGTAGATAAAGCAAAACGTCTCTGTTTCTTCCATGTCTCTCCATTGCTTACAAAAAGACCACCTAAATAATAAGTCCACAAAGTTGTAAACACGGCCCAGCAGTTTATATACTGTGCACTGAGAAATAGAAACTGATGATTTCACACCTGAGGGCTCAGAGTAAAACCTCTCAAAGATTGCATTATATGGCCGATCCACAAAGTTCTCGGCTTGTCCCACGATGGCCTCTTTCACCATCTTGTGGCCGCTCACAATCACCACGGGCTGACCGCCGAAGCGAAAGCTGAAGACGTTCCCGTAGATGTCAGCCAACTGTAGATGGAGAACAAATAGTATTAAAACTGCTAAATTTTATTTTATTTTTTTACAGTTCTGCCACATGGTGTCAGTAACTACGTGCATATAGAGCTTCAATCAAAATGCTAATATGGTTTAAATGAGCTTTTTTCTAATAAACTGTTCAAGAGTTTTCTTAAGATCCTGAACTTAACAGTACATAATTTGTAATGATCAAAAGTATGCACAGCCTCAGAAAACATTTTCATATAAAAGCTCACAAGAACGTTTTATAAGCATAAGTTTGCCTCATTTTCAATCCTTTATGTTAAAATGTCTTCATAAACGATGTGATCATGATCCACACCTTGCTGAAATGAACATGAGGGTGTTTGGTGTCCAAACTTAAGATGTTCCCCACAAAGGGGAGAGCCTTCGGTCCTGGAGGAAAGCTTGCTGGTGTCCGGTTCCTAATGAAATCGGCTATCAAGAGAAAGGAAAAAATAAACAACAGAATCCCCTTGACGTCCAAAATCAGAAAAACATCATAGAGCCACATGATTGGAGATGCAAACAGTTGGCAGAGGAAGAAGAAGAAATGCTCTTTGGGTTTTCCACTCGCTGTCTCTAAGAGGCTGTGTCTGGGAACTGAAAAACATAAAGTTCCTCTGGCTGCACATATGGAAAGATTGTTATATAAGCCATGCAAGCCACTCCTACCTGAACCATGAGCCTGACCTCTGTAGCAATATGTGTGATGTAACCAGTGGTATTCTAACCCTCATGAGATTTCAGGGTTGTGTTGCAGTTTCGCTAAAGTCCTCTGTGAATTTCAATTCTGTCCCGAATTTTGGTTCTCCATTACCAAATGTCTCAGAAAATCTAGCATAGCAAAAGACACAGACCATATTCACAGTGTGTCTGATTATAAATGAGCTTTAATGAGGTGGACTAGATTGACAACTTTATCGAGGCAAAACAAAAATGAAATAAAAACTGCTAACTTAAATATTTAAAGTTTTTACTTGCAGTTGGCTTAAAAAGTTTATCTTCTGCAGAGCGACAAGGTCACAGTGAGGAGAGGAGGAAGGAAATGAGGCTGATTTCAGATTTCTGCCCACATGGTTCTGAGATGGGCTGGACCTCTGCTGACTCCAGGTCTGGTGGACAGAGGACTGAATCAACCCACCCACTCATCAGCTGGGTTTCACGGATTTGGGGTTTGTTTGTATCTGATATTTCAGTGGGATCAACATTTATTATGAACATTCAGAAAGTGGATAAGAGACGGCAGGACATTTTTGTGTTTGCGCAGGAACAAACGTGAAAAGTGCATGTCTGCCCTTCTCACTGGAACCAACCCGCAGATGTCAGCAAAGTAAAACATTTGTAGATCTGAACTCATGATGTGCAGAACTACCGTACTCTGATATTGTAAAAAAAAAAAAAAAGTCTTTAATATTGATACAACGATATTCCAACTTGCAGGATATTGGACCACGATCACAACACCATCAAACATCTAGTTGCAAATTGTCATCAGTGAAAAACATTAAAACAAACAAACAAAAAAAGTAGATTTAAGGAGGTTCAAACGTGAACCTACCCACTCTCTCTGCCACTGCAGAACTTAAATCTACCTGGAGTAACGAGAGGTAAAAAATATCGATGCCTGATGGATGACAAAGTTAAGGAAGGCTGATCCAGCAAAAATGTGTCTTCAGATACGTCCTACCCAGGTTGTGTGTCTAGTTCAAAGGTTCAGAAACATTACATAATGTTAATCAAAATTGAGATACAAATCAATTGTATTTGGATGTTACTCAGAAAAATTATAAAATTGTTGAATTTTATAATTCAACAACTGTTTTCAAGAAGACGCCAGTGTCTTCATAAATACGGACTTCACCTCGTTTCTGTACTCGGTACATTCTCTTTAATCTTTTCAATAAAACGGAGAATGCAAATATAGATTTTTATTTTAGACTTATTTTTAGAAAGTCATTGTTGTAAAAGACAAAATATTTCTCAGTCCTTTTTGAAATCAGTTACTCAAAGTATGATGCCTTTAATGATAATTAATTAAACCGTCACTCAGAAAAACATCACATCCACAAAGACTTTTAACAAGCAGCAGCAGCTGAAGCTGTGGCCGTCGACTGTTGAGCCAAACCGGGTTTGGTGAAAAGTGCTGAGCTCAGCGGACCTGAGCAGACACCCGGTAGGGATGAGGCACTCGGGTCGTCCCAGTGATTCCCTCGGTGCTCAGCTCAACTCCGTCAGGAACAGAGAAAGTGAACTTCTGCAGTAAGGCAACGAAGAACAGGAAGAGCTCCATCCTGGCGAGGCTTTCACCGAGGCACGCCCGTTTCCCTGCAGACGACACGTGGCTGTGGTTTGAACACCGTCATGTTTTCTTGGTTAACTCTAAACATCTAAGTTCATATAAAACTAGATTAGATTTTCATGTGCCCTTAACTGAAATGTTTTGCGTAAAACGTCCCTAATGTTCAACAATTAACGGTAAACTCTGATCAACAATATTGGGTGATTTGATCTGGCAGGTATTGATCGGTGGCTTGATTTAAATTGACATGATTTGATATTTTACCTTCACCTTACAGAAAACCATTTACTTTATGTGATAAACCAACACAGAGTAGTTCTTAAATTTACACATGACATCTGAAAACTGAGCCTTTCTGAGTAAAATTACTTTTACTTGAATACAGCTGGATCCTTTTCTGGATTTATGTCTGGACTTTGACTGGACCATTATGAATTCTATAGGTTATGATTTAAATCATTCCATTTTAGCTCTGACTAGAGGTTTTAGGGTTGACTTTAGACTGAAGGAAATATTAATCTTTGTCTCAGTTTTGTTGCAGATTGCTATAAACTCTGACAACTTTCCATATATGTTTGCTGTGCCTTCTGTATGTCTTGGGGTAAACTTTAAATGTAATTACTCAGTACAGTCATATCTTCTTTTAGCCATCTCTGTTTGTGGAGAGCATGTCTGATAGCTGTCAAAAGATTCATCACCCTTAAATTTGAAGCCCATGTGCTGTACCTGCAGAGAACGGGAGGAAAGCTTCCCTCTTCACAAACTTCCCATCGGCATCCAGGAAGTGTCCGGGATTGAAGGTTTCTGGAGTTTCCCACTCAGATTTGTCAAACAGAACAGAGGTCAGCACAGGCATCAAAGATGTGCCCTAAAAAAAATCCAAAGTGGAAAACAAAGATACGCATTCAAGACCAAACTCCCCAAAACAAGTGGAAACACTTTCCTGTGCAGCGATTCTACCTTTGGGATGAAGTAACCGCCCAGAGTTGTGTCCTTTGCAGCGGCCCTCATTCCATTAAGAGGAAGTATGTTTCCTATCCTCTGGACCTCATGGATCACGGCGTCTGTGTACGGCATGCTAGATCTGTCGGCCATGGAGGGCAGGCGAGTCTGTCCGATGACTCTGTCGATCTCCTGCTGGATTTTCTCTGGAAGCAGAACAAATGAAGGAACTGGAAGTCGTTTGAGGAGGGTTTTGATCCTTGCTTTCCTGATGGATCGAATGCAGTTTGGCTTCACGTGACATTTGTTTGCTGGAGTCTAAGGAGTTAGTGAAGATGAAATTCTGGACCAAGCACTTTTCTATTGCACATAAAAGCCAGTTGTCTGTAAACTTGAACAAATCGACTGTACCATTTGATTTTAAGTTGAACCAAAACACATGTTCATCTCTACTTCAGTCTAATTTAAAACGAGAGTTTAAGATTTATAATCAAGCCTCAGTGAAACTAAGCAGCTCGATCCAGTCCAGCAGTAAATTCCTCCCTTGATGTTTTCATTTAGGATAAATCCAGATTAGTTGGTTCTGGTGGCCGAGGTTAACAGCTGGCCAGAGAACCACAGACGCCGAAGGAAGCAGCTGAGGTGACTGCAAGCTAAAGAAAGGCACAGTGATTTATGTGTCAATTGTTTTGCAGGACCTTTAAGCCATCATCACATTTTCCATTCAGTTAGTTATTTCCATGCAAGATGAAAAATCATTTACATGGGAAATAGAAGGCGATGCACCACCAGTAAGTGTTCCTCTGTGAAACACGTACTGAGAAGGAAACCTGAAACTTAAGACAATTGTAATGATTTTGTACCAAACCAATACTGGGACCGGACACGTTCACTTCTCTGAAACCCACCTTGAACGTCAGGATATTTTACAAGGAAAACCAAAGCCCACAGCAGCGTGGTGGCTGTAGTTTCTGTTCCAGCAAGGAAGAGATCGATGGCGCAGTAAGCCAGATTGGCCTCTGTGAAGCCCAGCTGAGGGTCTTTGTGCTGCCACAAAACAAAACAGCAACACTTGTCTTATTTGATGTTTTACGGCTTTATAAATGGGACTGTTTCAGGGTGAGCTAGCTTTAATACAAATGTCCACATACGTTCTGCATCTCGATGAGGAAAGCGTCGATGTAGTCTCTGGGATTGTCGCGATCCAGGTCCTTCTTGTGCCGCTCCACTTCCTCACTAATGAACTGCTCCAAGGTGGTGAAGTGGCTGAAGATCGTGTTGTGAGGACCCGGCATGTATCTCATCACACTGGGAAATGCCAAGTAGAGCTGCTCGACAGAAAAAGGTCAAACTGGCGATACCATTTGCTTTAACACTCGCTTTTCGTAGTAAACTTCTGATATCTCACAGACTATTTCACTTTGTGGTAACTTACTTGACCCCAGACGTTCCCCTCCAGCATAACCGCCTCAGACATGCACCGGAGCATCGTCTGAAACCTGTGGTCAGTGTAGTCGTATCTTTTCCCCATGACAAGCTGGCAGATGATGTTGGACACAGCGTTGTTGAAGAGGCCTGCTGGGCTGAAAGGTTTACCTGATGGAAGGGAGGTCTCTGATTAAAAACAGTGTGCTGTTTGCAATGCCACGAGTAAGGAGCACAGCATGCTCATTATAGCCCACCTTTCTCGCTCTCTATTTCCTCCTGCAGGTGTCGGATCTCCTCACAAACGCTCTGTTCCAGTGAGTTTTTGCCCAGACCGAAGTTGCGCAAGGTAGACAAAGCAAAACGTCTCTGTCTCTTCCATTTTTCACCGTTGCCCATAAAGAGACCAGCTGGATATTTTACAGCAGAAAAAAAAATAAAAATAGACACACACACACACACACACACACACCCACACACACACACACACACACACACACACACACACACACACACACACACACACACACACACACACACACACACACGCACACACACACACACACACACACACACACACACACATATATAAATGAGCTATTTGTTTGCAGAATGCATTTGGGAATCAAAAGATTTGACACCTGAGGGTTCAGTGTAAAACCGGTCAGTTATCGCGTTGAAAGGTCGGTCCACAAAGTTCTCGGCTTGGGTCACCAGCGCCTCCCTCACAGCCTTGTAGCCGCTCAGAAACACAATCGATTCCTGGCCGAGGCGGAAGCTGAAGACGCTCCCATAGATGTTAGCCAACTGTGGAAAACATGACAATGGAAAACCGCCACTTAAGGAAAAAAAACAAAAAACAAAACAAAAACCCACATAAATCAAATAAATCAACAAAATATGACACTATTTAAAATAGCCTGGCGACTCATCTTCGACTAAACTCTCCAGATTGTTAATTTGTTTCTGGTCGAATGTGTTTTCTAATTAATGACACTAAAGCAGATATTGGTGCTTTTGGCTCTTTTTCTTTCCATTGATGTGCTTGGATACAACAATTTGAACAGCTAGTTTTTATTTATTTATTTTTTAGCAATGACTTTTGTAGATTTTTTTCAATGACTTTTCAAGTCAGCAGTTTTACAAACCACTGTAAAGGCCATGACACAAATCAATCTTTTGTGACATTATCGACATTCTCTGTAATATCTTTCGCTAGTTGTAAGCCATAACAATTAAAATAAACAGAAATAAAAACTTAAAATATGTCACTGGACATATAATGGGTGCACTGAAAAGAGTTTCACTTTTTATAATACTGTGGTGAAAATAAAAATAAGATGACCCTCTGTATCTCAGCCACAGGTGTCAAAAGATTTGCAGGAATCTTTTGGAGCCCTAATGTTTAGATTTTGTTACAAACAAAGGTCTCCTTTGCAGCAGTTCAGAGTTTTGCTGTAAGACACTTGAACAGGTTTTAAGCAGAGCGTACACCCGCTGAAAACGCACAAACTGTTCAAAAGCACAACTTATTAAAGTATCTTTAAACTTACATTTTAAGCCTTGTCAAAGGTAATATGACATTTCTCCAGACAACATGACCAGACATGCAAGCGCTCACGGTAACTCTGTACCTTTTGGAAATAAACGTGTGGATGTTTGCTTTCCAAACTGAAGAAATTCCCCACAAAGGGCAGAGCCTTTGGACCTGGAGGGAAATTAGCTGGCTTTCTGCTTTTGTAGAAGTCTGCTATCAGGAGGAACATGAAGACAAACAGGAGGAGCCCCTTCACGTCGAAGCTCAGCAACAGATTATAAAACCACATGACTAGCTGCAATGGAGGAAGTGTCTTCAGGAGTCACAGTTTTCCTCTGGCTGTGTGAAGCAGCAGCAGGGCTTCTGAAAAGCCTTTTGTGCAAAACACGCAAAGTTCAATCAAAAGGGTTGAAATGTAAACACAATGTAGACTCCACAAAAGAGGGAGGGCTTATATAACATCCTGCTAACTCCACCTCCTCATCACATTAAAGCTAACCTCTGTAATACCAGAGTAATAAAAGCAGCAAATCAAAGTGCTCATTCTGAAATGAACTACATTAGTTAAGGTTAAGTGCAACCTTTTGTGTTTATGGTATTAGAGACTGAAGGTAAGGAGGGGAATCCACAGGCCTGATGGCTCAAATGTTTGTTGTAACAACAGGAAAACGCAGAAACAATGAAACACGACTGAACTGGAAGGAGCGAACGTGCACTGTAAAACATTTGAAGGTGGTTTAACTTGAAAATGAAAGACCACCTGCTGCATTGATCATGCAGTTAAGCCAAAGTTCATGAAGTTGGTTTAACAGCAAGAGACAAGTTGTCTAAACCTCATGTGGTAACACTTTATTTGATGGGTTGTGAATAACATCTGTCATGAACATGAGTGAGTCTTCATGAATATTTATGACTGTCGTCATAAAGTGTCATTTGGTAAATCATGACATTTTATGTGTACGTGATTCAAAATGTCTTTGTTGACAAAAAATCATAATTTGACACAAATTTGTTAAAAAAGTATTCCTGATTATCTTTTAAAAAATATGTAGCTTTATGTTTTTAAAGCTAAAGTTAAATCGTTGCACATCTTCACCATTGGGGCCAATGAGTTTGGAGTGTGGTGTATGACCTAGCAACATTTAGAATTAAAAACGACAAACGTTTCATCTCTCTGCTTTATTAATTCAACGCAGCAGGAAACATATCAAATTACATGTTTGTAGATCTTTACTGCACCATTTGAGATATTTTGTAACCAACTAGAGTATTTTAATGTCTTGGGAATTGTTTTTTTGTCTGCCATCTAGGATTTCTTGCCACAGTTAATTGCATTGTTTGCTACTAACATATATTGTTACGTAAAACCATCACCGAGATTATAAAGTAGAGATGCAGCCACTCAGAGTCTTGCTGAGAAGCACAGCTAAGACGTTTAAGAGCTTTTTCTGCGTTGTATTTGTTCTTCTCTTGAGAACAAACAGTAATGGCGGATCTGTCAGCGAGCCTTCGCTGACACTGTGAAGGGGTGAGGTACGCGCGTCGCTCCGGTGACTCCTTCGGTGCTCAGCTCGACTCCATCAGGAACAGAGAAAGAGAATTTCTGCAGTAAGGCGACCAAAAACAGGAACAGCTCCATCCTGGCGAGGCCTTCGCCAAGACACACACGTTTCCCTACACAATGAACACACACACGTAAAACATAACTGTAGATATTCTTCATCAAGTTATGTGGTTCCCAGTGGAAATCTTTTTTTTTAAAGCCAGTTACTGACATCTTTTTTTGCCAACTATCCAGATCTTATAGCATTTGTCAACTATGTAAGTGCTTTCTCTTTTAAAATTGAGGAACTGGACTTGGATTAATTGGCTGGGAATGGCCTGCAGGATCTCCGTAAAAACAAGGTTGCTACTTCCTGTGTCTTGCTTTGTGAGGCTCTTTGAGTCACTTCCAACCTAAACCCTTTTTGTAAGACTTTTTGAGTTTGACTGATTGTTTTATTTACCTGTTGTGAAAGCAACATCTTCTTTAGAAAGCCTTTTTATTTCCCTTTAAATTGTGCCACATGTAGTAATTCTTACATTTTGTGGTGATGCCAGTAATTCTGCTTAGGACGTTTGGAAACTCTTGACTCAGAAACGTGAATTGTTTGCTGTACCTGCAGAGAACGGGAGGAAAGCTTCCCTCTTCACAAACTTCCCATCGGCATCCAGGAAGTGTCCGGGATTGAAGGTGTCTGGAGTTTCCCACTCAGATTTGTCAAATAGTACAGATGTCAACATGGGCATCACAGATGTTCCCTAAAAACATCCAAATTCACTAGAAGAAAGCAAAACTAGAAAAAAAACAACACTTTTACCTAAATGCTTATCGCTTATTAGCTGCTGAGTAAATTTACCTTTGGTATGAAGTATCCACCCAGAGTTGTATCATTGGCAGCGACCCTGAATCCATTCAGAGGAACAATGTTTCCCATCCTCTGGATCTCATGGATCACAGCGTCAGTGTACGGCAGGTTCTGTCTGTCGGTCATGGAGGGCTGGCGACTCTGTCCGATCACTCTGTCAATCTCTGCCTGAACTTTCTCTGGAACAACAAAGTCTTGCTTCTGAACTTCCAGCAGGAGTCAGCAGGTCACAGTATGTTGCTTACGTCTCTCTGAGCCACATATGATTCAGTATATAAGCAGTTATTTCTCTGTCAAATCCCCCTGGTGCTTGTCATGGTTCCACCTGTTCCTGCCTCACCAATAAACTTTGATTCTGTTTTGCATCAAAGCTGGTCTCTGATTTACTCTCCTTGAACTTAATTTCCTTAACTTTGGGAGATGGGTGATCGGCTGGTTTGTAGACATGAAGCCGATCTCATCTAGCTTGGCAAAGGTCTAAGGATCAACTACTGTCCTCTTTTGCTCTCTGGTTTGACTGACAGACCAGACCTCCAAGTTATGTCCGCATGTTTACAGTTAACGGTAGTGACACCACTGTTGCCAACTCAACGATTTTCTTACTACATTGAATAAAATTTCAGAGAGAAAAAATCGGCATTGGCCAAAATCGTAATGGGGAGGTAAAATATTTTAAAAGATCAGTGATCAGCGATCAACCAGAAAACTACAATTGGTGAACCTCTAGATTTACATTATATGAGCAAAATGAATCCATTGTGACCAAAGGCCTATCCTATCCAACCCAAACCTTTCTTTATTGCAGTTGTTCAGGAATATTTATGAAGCTGATATCTGTGCCATATGTCTTGGAGTTTTGTGCTCAAGGTAATACTTTATTGTTATTTGTCACATAACAAAAAGTGAATTGGGGCATTTTTACAATATAAAATACATGCTAACTTTAAGCAAAGCTGTAATTGCTTTGGAGAACCGAGCCTTCCACCCACCTTGGACATCGGGGTTTTTAATCAGAAAAATCAGAGCCCACTGCAGCGTGGTGGCTGTTGTCTCTGTTCCTGCTAGGAAGAGGTCAAGGGAGCAGAAAGCCAGGTTGTTCTCTGTGAAGCCCAGGTTGGAGTCTTTTTGCTGCAGAGAAATGTCCAAAAGACAAGTTGCTTACTGATGGCAGAGTGAAATGGGAGTGAGAGTGAAATAACCCCGACTGGTTACATACGTTCTCCATCTCAATGAGAAAAGAGTCGATGTAGTCTCTAGGGTTGTTGTGGTCCAAATCCTTCTTGTGCTCTTGTATTTCCTCTTGAAGGAAATCTTGTATATTGTTGTAAATGCTGAAGATTTTGTTGTGAGGACCTGGCAAATATTTCATCACGCTGGGGAATGCCTGATAGAGCTGTTTGAAGACAAAATGAAAAGACGACAACGACAAATATCACATATCCTCTTTCATAATAAACATCTCACATGGCGGTATGCGACACAGAGTGGTCCTCCATCGGGGTTGTTGAACTTACTTCGCCCCAAAAGCTCCCCTCCAGCCAAATCACCTCAGACATGGACTTCAGCATCATCTGAAACCTGTGGTCAGTGTAGTCGTATCTCTTTCCCATGACAAGCTGGCAGATGATGTTGGACACAGCGTTGTTGAAGAGGCCTGCTGGGCTGAAAGGTTTACCTGATGGACAGAACGGCCTGGTTAAAAAAAGAGCCGACCTGTGCTGTATTTCACAGTGACAGTAACCCACCTTTCTCGCTCTCTATTTCCTCCTGCAGGTGTCGGATCTCCTCACAGATGCTGAGCTCCAGCATGTTCTTCCCCAGGCCAAAGTTACGTAAGGTAGACAAAGCAAAACGTCGCTGTCTCTTCCATTTTTCGCCGTTGCTCAAGAATAGACCAGCTAGAAATAAGCATGCAGGCATGACAATGTTAAGGCCTCATATAACCCACGTCTGTCCAACGAAACCAAAATGTTTCCTCACCTGAGGGCTCAGTGTAAAACCTGTCAGCCACTGCATTGTACGGCCGATCCACAAAGTTCTCAGCTTGCGTCACAATGGCCTCTTTCACCATCTTATGTCCGCTCACAATCACCAACGTATCCCAGCCTAGGCGGACTCTGAAGACGCTGCCATAGAGGTCAGCCAGCTGCGGACAATGTTACAGGTTAATCAGTACGCTGTCTTCCAGACACCAAAACAGTTATCGACTTCATTCTTTCTACTTTTTTTTTGTGGGTGTAAAGGACATTTTATGGGTAGCAGCAACAACAAAAGGGCCTCAAATCATTGCACTTAAATCACCACTGCATTTGATTTTATTTATTTGCTGGATGTGACAAGATGTAGTTTACGAAGCGATTCCACTTTGTCTTGTCAGTATACAGTTTTTTTTCCCTCCAAACTCTTGGGTGTTTAGATATTTTGCAGTATTTCATGGATGAATTAGATTCACTGAAGGAGAAAATTTAGCGGACTAAATTTTCACCATTGATGCATCTTTCCAAAAAAAAAAGAAAAGAAAAGAAGTTGTTTACAGTTAATTAAGATATGATCATCTTAGAGGAAGATAAGCAGATACACTGTATTGTTACTGTGAATTAAAAAAAGAAAAAAAGTTATCTACCCATTCTTCCCTTAGTTAATATTTAACTTCTGTCTTTTTTATTCCATCTTCCCCGCCTCCAGAAAGCGAAATTCAACTACTGAAATTCTTTAATGTATTATTTGATTTTCGTCATCTACCCTAGAAATGAGGGCGGTTCTTATCAGAGCAGCCCTTTAAAAATGTGACAAAAAAACCCAAGAAAACAAAGGAACAAAAAAACATTTCCAAACTTTAATATTTCACAACAGAATTATTTTTCACCAGTAGGAATGTTTGAATCCCACAAAAAAGAGAAAAAAAATCAGGACATCTGAAAACAACTTATTAATTCACATTTCACAATGAATTTAGCCAAACAAAGACTAGACTTTAGGCTCTTAATGCAAAGCAATACCTTGGTGAAATAAACATGTGGATGCTTGCTGTCCAAAGTCAAGATATTTCCCACAAAGGGAAGAGCTCTTGGTCCTGGAGGAAAGTTTGATGGTTTCCTGTTCTTCAGGTAATCAGCAATGAGAAGAAATAATAAAACAAACAAAAATAGCCCCTTCAGGTCAAAGCTCAGCAAAAAATTATAAAGCCACATGGTTAAAGTGCGCAGAAACAGGTAGAAGCAGAAAAAAAAATGCTTTTATGATGTCTGTTTGCAGTCAAAGTCTGCAGCGTCGGCCACCTGGCAGGAAACTCAAAATCACAGCACGCCTTTAGACTGTACAAAGGGGAAGGTGGTGTAAGCGTTGCAGACCACACCTACATGCCCTTTGACAAGCCTATTCCTTGTAATCCATGGGAGATAAAACTTACTTTTATCTCTCCCTGTTTAGAGTTCAGACATTGCGATAATGGATATTTAATATGACGGACACAAAAATAATTTTTTTTTTTTTAAATTATGGGTTTGGCTACCGTCCTCTGTGTCAAATGAAGTTCCACCGAGCTCGACTTGCTCAGAGTCCGAATTACTTTGTATTTCGTAAGAATGAAAGTTTTGGAAGGCTTCCTGTTGTCTTCTCCCCTAATTCGTCTGCCAGTTTGTGTACTTTTGAGTCCTTCAACTTTGCTACAGAGTGTGATAAAATGAAATCATAGATTAGCTGCTGACAGGTGAGCAGAGCCAGGCCCACCAACACAAAGTGCACCAGTGGCAAAAGGCACCCAGATTTATTGTGCAGGACTTTCAACAAGCAACATTTGTACTATATGATTTTAGTTTTGGGTGTCAGGTTGATTGAGTCTAATTTCATATTAGACAACAAATGGCATCACAAAGAAAGAGGAAGGTCAGGCTCAAAGTTTTGGGCAAGTTAAAATTAGGGTGAGATTATACACAAGCTACTGTATGTGAATTACGCACTTTATACTAAACACATCTGAAGCTTTAAATGTCACACATCAACCCAAACTGGAGAGAAGATGAAAAATTAAAGTCTGACAGAGTTGAATGCAAATCAAGATCCAAGCTGACTGAGCGTGAACTATTTTAAGGTGTGCAATAGTAATAAGATCTAATTTGAAAGGCTTGGAGCTGTAATTAAAGCCAAAGGTAATCGGCTCAAAGGGACTGGAATTGGACACGACTTCATTATTATTTAAGCTGAAGCTAAACGTTTGACAGTTTCACGGTCAAACTGGAAAGACATGAGTTGTGCTTTACAGGGCTATTATGTGGAGCTTAACTAAATACAGGCACATCATGACTGTGCAGAAAAACCTCCTCTAACACAAATATTATTCTGCAAATTCACTGACTTTCTCAAATATTGTCATTAGATAAGAGAAACTGACTGTTTTTTTCCCTTTTTCTTCTCTTACTTAGTTCTTTGAGCTGAACTGTTGTGACTTATAGGTAATGCAAAACATGTCTGACAAATGAATCACCATTTAAAAGACTATAAATATTATAAACACTTTATTACATTCCAATTGTGAAAAGTTTATCTTTTGGCATCTTGCACATTTTCCATTCTCTCTTTGGTTTGATGTCAAGCTGTTATTCAATCGTCTTGAAATGAAATTAAAACTTAAGTACTTTCTAAAATGCTCTTATCAAACATCCCCTCTCTCAATAGTTTTATTTTTTTAACATTCTCCAAATTACTGTTAAAGCGAGCAATAGATTGTGCTTATGTTACCCCAGGACACAAAACACGTATCATGATTAATTGCTTTGCAGACCGGTGAACATTGCTCTCATGCAGCAGCAAATCAGAGTCGTTTAAAGATACAGAACCGACTTCACAGAGCTGCCTGTGTAGCATGACTAAGATATGTTTTTCATGTACAAGAAGAATATACTTTTTCACAAACTTACAGGGATATAGAACAGATTAATGATGCACCAGGCCGATTCATCCTAAAACTTTCTGTCTCAACTCAGATAAAAAAAAAAAAGTCCTATGTTACTAAGGTTTTTATATGATAGGTCTTATTTCAGAAAATTATAAGTATTTCCTGCATACAGCCAATAAAAAAGCAAGACATTTATGATCAGAAGACATCATCAGACCAATTAATACAGCGCTGTTGTCCCAATGAGATGTACAGGAAGCACATGTTAGCGTGGCACAGCCAGGAATCTGAACTCCTCGGGGGAATAAGTGAAGCCCATCACGCCCTCCAGGTTGGGCATTTCTCCTGGGACCGGGGCAAAGGTGAAGCGTTGCAGCATAACTGAAAAGAAGACGAAGAGCTCCATTTTGGCCAGGTGTTCCCCCAAACACATACGTTTACCTGCGTTGAGAAATGGGACATGCTTGATCAGCTGATTGTACATGTGCATTTATTTTTGATGGCGAGCTTAAAAGTGACGTCGGTGCGCCTTTTGGTTTTCTTAGGAAGGTGGCGATTGGCTCTGGGGCAGACCCACGAAGAACTACGATTACAAGGTAAGTCAAAAGAATCGGCGGGATTCTAAAATTATTAACTGGTGACAATGTTAAACCCATTTATGCATTTAAGAACAACAGGAACCTGCTAGGAAATATATTTCATTTGGAAAAAAGCCACCTGACTGTTTGACCCGTCAGTATTTAGTTTTGTTTCATTTGTGATGAGAATTTTCACATAAAAACATTTCTTTGAAACTTCAAAATTGACTTCCAGTCCATGTTACGTAACAAATATAAACTGAACATTTAAACTGAACTGGAGCGCATGCAAGCTCAAAAACTGCTTTACCGCTTCTGTCATGGTTTTCATCACAGATTTTAAAATGTTACTCGTCTAAGTTAGAAAACAATTAAATTGCCTTTTTATCATTCGAACCAACTGCTGACTTCAGTGTTGTACTCTTCCACGGTTTGTGGAGCAGACAGAAAACCTCACATTTCCAAGTTAAACATTTAATGTTTAAATGTCCTCAATTAGGTTGGTATAAAGAGGGAACTTTGGAGTGAGTGTTGCACAGAAACACAGAGGAGCATGAGCTTGAAACAGAAAACCTGCAACCAACCTGCTGAAAATGGCAAGAAAGCATCTCTCTTGACAAACTTGCCCTCTGAATCCAAGAAATGCTCGGGATTGAAGACATCTGGAGTCGCCCACTCATTCTTATCAAACAGCACAGATGCCAGGATGGTCGTCATATATGTTCCCTGAACAGCGAGACGTGTTTCAGACATCAGCGGCTAACCAACGATTTCACCACGTAAAATTTAGTTTTAACTGAGGTATGCATTTTCCCACCTTAGGAATGAAGTATCCGCCCAGTGTTGTGTCTTTACTCGCCATTTTAGGAAATCCCATGGGGACGATGTTTCCCATCCTCTGAACCTCGTGGATGACGGCGTCAGTGTAGGGAAGGTTCGGTCTGTCGGCCATTGTGGGCTGACGAGACTGCCCGATCACTCTGTCTATCTCTGCTTGGACCTTCTCTGAGAAAGGACGGAAAAGGGAGAAGAGCGTTGAAATCTAACACCGTTTTAGTTGGGATATTTCAGTTTGTAACGAGCCACTGACCCTGTATCTCTGGGTAGTGCAACATGAACAGAAGGGCCCAGCGCAGCGTGGTGGCAGCGGTTTCTGTTCCAGCCTCAATGAGGTCAAGAGTGCTAACGAGCAGCGTTTCAGTGTTGAAGCCGGCCTGGGGATCCTCTTTTTTCTAGCACATCAAATATATCAGACTTTAACCTCTTTACAACAAGAGCTCTGCTAACATTTCTCACTTTAAACATAGTTGTACATAATTCACACAGCTTGCCAGTGAGCAATGTCCCGCAGAGGACTTTTTTATGGTTGACCAGCTTCTAAGGGTTTTGGCTTCGCTGACCAATCCCTCTAACTCAAGATGTCAAAATTAAAGCAGGGAATATTTACATCACAGCTTCTTGTTAACGTTTTAGCAGTGTAGAGACGCCAGCAAACAGGTTGACAGAGACAGCTGTCTTTTTGTTTTTGACTGTCTCCATGGCTATTTTGTGTTACTTTTCCATTTTTATTTCCTGATGTGGAGACTAACACCACCCACTTGGTCAGTACCAAACATGTAACGCTGGAGATGTGACACCGACTGGTGGACGGAGGTTATTGCCTACCAAAGATTTTGGAGAGAGGCTTTTCCCCCTTTTTTTGTTGCTTATGCCTTTGTAGAATTTATATGCTGCGAGCCCCTAAAAGCAGTTTCTTCCCAGGATACGTGTTCATAAAAGATGCAAAACAGAATTGTGTTAAATTATATATTGTGAATATTTTATGAAAAGACAACTATTAGTTTTAATTAATTATGTAGGTTTATCAGTGATTGGATGGACTATTGGATCTCCTAAATTACGTTAATAAATGTTATACCATAGTGAAACTTTATTAGGTTCATCTGCTCTATTGTTTAACTCTACGAGTGAAATGACCAATCACTTGGCAGCGACTCAAAGCTTTTGAGTGTTTTGTCAAAACTGTGTGACTCAAGTCTCATGTATGAATTTTTCACCTTCTCCATCTCTGACAAGTAGACGTCGATAAAATCCCGAGGATCGTCTGGATTCCACTCCTCTCTGTGCTTCTCGATCTCTTTCTCCAAAAAGTCCAGGATCTTCCTGTAGTTGGCATGCACAGTCTGGTGAGGCCCTGGCAGGTGCTTCATCAGTCCAGGGAAGGCGTCAAACAGCTGTTGATGGCACAGACTCTCAGATCAGCTGCAGGCCAGCCAGGGATGGTTTCCTTTCAGCGGACAGAAAAGAATACCTGAGTCCGAAGGGAACCAGCAAGAATAACGGCTTCGTTGTCCAGCTCCAGGACTTCCCGAAAGCTTGGGTCCGAGTATTCAAATCGATGTCCAAAGACCACAGATGAGATTATGTTACTCACTGCATTTGTTAAGATGTAGTGGGGGTTAAATGGCCTTCCTGGAAATATTGAGAAATAACATTTAAATCAGCATGAATCCTAACTCTCACTTGTTTTGGTTAAAGTCTGCTCACCCTGCTCATCATTGAAGGCTTCACAAAGAAAGTTGGACTCCACTTCGATGTACTTTTCTAAAGATTTCTGTCCCTCTCCAAAGTAGCGAAGATGAGCGTTGGCAAACTTCCTCTGTTTCTTCCACAAGTACCCATTACTCAGAGCAATACCTGTCATAACATCACATCAGAGTATTTTAAAATACACTTTCAGCACAAATATTCCTGCTGGCATTTTCAAATAAATAGACAATAAACTTCAGTAGGGTGTGTAAAATAGGTTGTGTTGCCCGAGGTTAAACTGGTGACCTATTCAGCATCTCCCAATGTCTCTAACCCAAGATCTGTTTGGCATAGGGACAAGCTTGCATGAAAACTGACCAAAGACAATATTTTTTCTGCAAAGAATAACAAATTAACGTACAGGTTTGGCTACTCACCAAGGCCCTTGAAGGTGACGTGAAAAAGGGGAACGATTGGCCTATCAACGAAGCTGTCCAGCTGGTTGACAAGAGCCTCTTTGACCATCTTGAGTCCAGAGACAAACACCAGCCAGTCACTGCCTTTTCTCACGCTGAACACAGGACCGTACTTCTTTGAAACCTACATGTAAAACACAAATTCACATAGAAAAATAAAGATGACATGTGAACAAAAATTCTCATTCACCTTATCCATTGTTTTGAAGTCCAACGGCGTGAAGATGTTTCCGACAAAAGGTGCAGCCCAGGGTCCGGGTGGAAAGTTAGGAGGCCTCCCGTTTTTCACAACATCAAATATTAGCAGGAATACAAACCCTAAAAGAAGCCAGCCGGTAAAGTCCATGCAATGAAAAAGAGCTTGGAAAATCATGGTGAAGAAAATAGTAAGAATGGCCCAGCTAAGAAGAAAACTGAGCTTGTTCTTGCAACTTGTTCTGTGCAAAGAGGGCTAAGACAGGAATGCTGATGTTGAGAAAAACAGAAGAAAAAAAAAAACTGGCTCCAGTAGAGTTGCGTAATACTCGTGGCCTCTCTGGACCCATTAACAGGAATAAACATGGCCGGAGTTGGAAATGTTCCAGAGGACTGCAGACTGGAAGAATGTATACTCCCCCGGGATCAGGAGGCGGTCTCAATAACGTAACCAATTAGTTTAAGATAACATGATTTATTATGCCAATTTTTAATGTTTCAGAGAGGTTTTGAAGTCAATCATGTAAAAGCTTAAGCTTTTAGCACAATCATTGGCAATACAAAAAAAAAAAGACATGACAACAGAGGAAAGGGTTCATTCCCTTTTCTCTATTGTCAGGGAATAGAGACAATATTTTCTGACAATAGAGCTCCTTCATAAAAAAAAACACGGGTGCAAATTATTGCTGCTGCCTTTTGAAAGAAAGTCCATAGTTTGAATCCTGGTGTCAGGATGATCCATACAATGGTACTGCAACAAACATGATTAAAATGTACAAAAATTCCTTAAATAAATGTTTTTCACATGGCTGAATATAATCTGAACAAATACACATCAGTCCAACACTTTTCTGCACCAATTTCCAGAAACAACCAGAGTCAACTCGGCTTGGATCAGGTTGCTGGTCTGTCGTCTGTTCCTAAATAACAATATAAAATAAACAAGCCAACACAATCAGTCTCACGTACGCTTCTTATTGTGGTCCAACACGTACAGGATCACTGACAGAAAGCCATGGAGAATATCTAAACCCCACACAGCAAAACCAACAAAGCCTCAGTTCAGACAAGACACACAAGTGTTTATGAAAGGACAAATTGACAAAACTGTCACACATATAATATTCAGAAAATATCACCGGGTCAAAAGCATTTCATATTTTCATTGATAAATAAATGTTTTCTGTTTACATCAGTTTTTTTTTTTGGTTTCACAATTTGAAAACAAAAGCACAAATTGTGGTTGAATTTACCTCTTTTTTGCAGGGCAATATTTATGGTTATAATTCTGATTCTTTAAATATTATTTTCTTAAAAGAGCTGGAGGACGCCATGTTTAACTTGTTCCCATCAGCAAAAGTTATTTTAGGGGGAGATTTTAATGTCGTTTTTTCCACTCAACTGGATAGACATCCGTCCAGATTTAGAAATGGACAGAACCATATTTTGGACTTTTCTAACCGGCTAAATTTAGTAGATATTTGGAGACATCGTCATCCTACTGACTCCAATTCACCTGGAGTAACAAAATCTTTTCAACTCAATCTAGAATTGTCTTCTCATAAGCAGATCCCTGTTATCTTTTTCTTTCTTTTCTTGCCTTTATTTATCTGTTTGCTATAATATACAATCTTCATATGTATTTGAATATATTTTTGACATTTTATTATAAAAACCTAACTGAAAATGTACATATTATATTTTACCAATGTATATATATTGGTATATACAATATATATACCAATAAGACTTTTGTCTTTCCAGACTTTAACATCAACACCCTCAATATCTGTAATTATTCTTTTATTTGTTTTATTATATTCTTTGTTTGAAATAAAGTTAAAAAAAAACAAAAAAAAAAAACAGATTGTTTTCATTCAAACTTGATGAGTTTGCCATTTGTTCTACTGAGGCTGTGACATCAGTTTGTGACATCATGCTTTTCTCTATTACATTACAAGACCGCAATCTTGAATCTTGCTTCTGGTCAGACACGTTTAGTCAGTGAAGAGCTCATCGATTCCAGACTACTTTTTAAACGAACGGATTAATACAACAAAGATGGATGACAAGTCTCAGCTATCTAAGGAGCTAAAGAGACAGTTGGATTTCGTCATTGAAACGATCAATGAAATAAGAATTGTTTTGAACAGAACGACCATGTTGTCTGCTGACAACATCAAAGTACTTAAGATTCAACTGAGAAATGTTGATTTTAGAGTCAACAGTATAACATCAAGAATTAGAGAAGTAAGGGAGGAAGAGGAAGCACGACTACAGCTACTTAAGAATGTGGAAGAAGCACGAAATCGGTTGATCGAGGTTAAGAAATATTTGGATATGACGAAAACACAAAAGGCGAAACATTTATTTAAAAAAGCAGGATTAGGCTGTGCAACTGGCATAGCGATATGTCTGATGATTCAGGGGGCAAAAACTCTGTGGCAAGTGTACTCTTCATGGACCTGAACGGAGCCATAATCTGAAGGGCATTTACCTGAGCCATTTTTCTGTCAAAACAGGGGAGTTTCCTAGTTGCCAGGGTGTGTGGGGACCAGTGGGACCAGTGGTATGGATGTTGGTTCTCTGGAACCAGGGGGTCCAGCTAAGCTTTGGGTTTACTAAACCTGGCAGGATTAGGGTAAGGGTTATGTATCAGAAGGAAAGTCAGTGGTCCCTGGAAGAGATCCAGGATCTGGGAACCGTGTACCCAGAACGAAGGTTACTGGAGCTAGGACAATTGCAAGGGGGCCAGGCGACTGGCATTGGGCTGGGCATATCTAGGAGACTCCCTGGGATGGGGCACAACCCTGGGAGCTGTCCCGTAGAATATCTAAACCCCACACAGCAAAACCAACAAAGCCTCAGTTCAGACAAGAAAACTTCTTGATTTTAGGTGATTTTTCTTGTGCGACCCAATGAAAAAAGGACACATTATCCGAATCTTGTTTAAAAAATTTGTTTTTCAGATGCCCTGAAATGCCCCATTAAGGCAAAAACTACACATTCATCAAAAATTTTATTTTACCAAAAATTAAATAACAAAAATATGAACAGCAAAATGTATTTGCTTTGTGCGTTTTCTGTAAATCTTCTTGTTAAAGGACTCGCTGAAGTCCTAGAAGTCAGGCATGTAGTGATCTCTTGGACTAAAGCCGACCCAAAAATACACCTGTCACTATAAAAATACAGAAATGCTTTTATTTTGAAAGCTGTGCGCTCTCCGTATATACTCTCATAACCCGCCTGACTGACCTTTAGTTGTAGTTGAACAGTCAAGAAATGGAGGCAGTACAGCATGTTCTGGGTTTAGACTGGCTCGACACCAGGGCTATTTTAATTTTCCTTTTTGTTTTTCTTCTGCTGAGCGACGTTTTGAAGAACTGGAAACCAAAAAACTTTCCTCCTGGACCACTGGCTCTTCCTTTCATTGGAGATCTTCACCGCATCAAACCTGCAAGACTTCACCTGCAGTTCTCAGAGGTAGAGCACAGACTGCTGACATAGGCAGAAGTGACAATACAATCATTTATGTTTTTCTATGTATATTTTGTGGAATAACGAAACTCATAATGTAGAACTAAAGAAATTTGGCTAATTACTATGTGGTAATACAGTCATGCTTTATGGACTAAAATTGGCATTTAAATATAATTTTTAAAGAAAAATATAAACACTGAAGAAAATTCAGAGAAAATCCAAATGAAATATCGGCCATCATCAGCAGATTGACTTGATAATATTGACGTAATATTATTAAAATCCCAAATGCTTTGGAGAAAAAAAAAAGAAAACTCAGCATAGATAAGAGAAAAATATTGGTTGCAGCTGTCTTTTGATTTAAACTGGTTGTGAACCTTGATGGTTGCTCTATCATTTCTGTGTCACTCCTTTTATAGCTTATTAAGAAATTATACGTGATAGGTCATGCAATGTTTATGCCATAAAAAATAATATCTAAGACAAATTTCTTAAAAAAAAAAAAAAGGAAGGAGCTGTTTTTGTAGAAATGTATTTACTTGAAAATCCTTTTTGTAGGTAGTTGTACTCTGACATTTCAACTTAAGGGGCGGGTCCATTTCCTGTAGATTTGTTTACTCTGTGCTATTCAGCTCCCATCATGTTTGTAGGAAGACGTAATTATTCAAGCGGGCCTGAAAAACACTGCAGTGAAATCCTCATTAGTTCTCTTTCTTCAGCTTGCAGAGAAGTATGGAAATGTTTTCAGCCTTCACATCTTTGGGGGCAGAGCTGTGATCATTGATGGCTACACACACGTGAAAGAGGCGCTGGTCCAAAAGGGAGAAGACTTTATGGATCGCCCCACCATTCCACTGTTTTCTGAGGTTTTTGAGAATAAAGGTATACTTAAGGTATACTTATATATATATATATATTATTTTTTTTTTACCAAAATATTTTATTAAAATTTTCAACAAGTTCTCTTTATAGTTATTACATGACATTAATGACATGACATTAACTCAGAGAAATAAAAACCAGAAAAAGAAATAAACACAAAACACAGCTTCTCAGAAATGAGGGTATTCAAGTACATTTCAAACTGGTTAGATATAAATGTACACTTTTATACAGCATGGCACAGCGCAGGTTCCAGCAAGTCAGAACTCAGATGAACCCTCTGACAGGTCTAAGTCCTTAATAAAATTAATGAAAGGCCCCAAAAATCCTCTCAAAAAGATATTGTTTGGATTTCCTAATATATGTTATTCTTTCTAGCGGCAAATTTGACGACATCTGTTTTAACCACTGCGTGACACTTGGTCTGTTGATATTTTTCCAAGCCAAAGCAATACATTTTTTTGCAGCCAATGAGCTTACGTCTATAAAAGTACATTCTGATTTACTAAAGTTATGGTTCTCAGGGTATAAAGCTAACAGGAACAATTTAGGATCCACTGAAATCGGCTTTAAGATAATTTTTTCAATTAAATCTTTCACCTCTGTCCAAAACACATTGATTTGTCTGCATTCCCACATACAGTGCATAAGAGTCCCTTTAGAGTTACACTTTATGCAAAAATGTGGGATGTAATTATTGTATTTATTTAAATGCACAGGTGTAACATAGATACACATTAGGCATTTAAATTGTAGAATTCTAAAATGGCTGTTTATGGACATTGTGTGAGTTTTAATACAAGCCCTTTCCCAATCCTGTTCACTGATGTTTGATGATAGGTCCAAATTCCAGTTTATAAGCTTATTATTTGAATTCTCTGTTGAGTTAGAGATCAGCACATTATAAAAGTCTGAAATTATACCCTTTCTTGATTTATTCCGGGTCATTAATTTTTCAAGCATTGTAAGGGGGGGAGGCTTGTTAAGATTACTGTAATTTGCTTTAACAAAGTTTCTTATCTGAAGAAATTTGAAATAGTGCTTTTTATCTAGCCTGAATTTAGCCTGATATATTTCCAAATGATGAAAATATATCCGAATTTGATGGGTAAGGGTCACCAATACTTTTTAAGCCTTGTAACGCCCAAAGCTTAAAGGTTCTATTTGCCCTACCTGGAGCAAACAACTGATTACCCCATATTGGGCTATGGGGTATAGCCGTTTGGCTCCACAAGGTGTTTTCTAACATCCTGCCAGATTTTAATCATGTTTTTCAGAATGGGATTTGTAGTGTGTTTCTGTAAGGGCTAAACTTAAATTATGGGACTCCATTTCTACCCAATGAGGATTATCATTATCTGTAAAATAGAACATGATAGTCCTTAATTGAGTGGCCCAATAGTAAAATTTAAAGTTGGGGCTCTTTAACCCCCCTCTATCAAATGGTAAATAAAGCAACGAGAGGCGTAGCCTGGACCTTCTGTTTTTCCATATAAAGCCTAAAATGTTTTTTTTGAGCCAATTGAATAATTCAGGAGGAGGCGACAGGGGAATGCCTTGAAAGAGGTATAATAGCTTTGGAAGTATACTCGCTTTCAGGACATTAACTCTTCCCAATATGGATATAGGCAGGGTTGTACAGTTGTCAATTCAGGCATCTATTGTTTTCATTAGGTGTTTTTAATTGGATTTGACTACCTGTTGTAGTTCTGGGAAAATCTGAACACCTGAACATTCAAAATGTTCCACTACTTTAAATTGCTTAATCTCACTGATGGGATTAGTCCTTTCATCTACATTAGAAGATTTTGAATTATTAAGGTATACTTATATATTTACTCTTGGATCGTGGATGTAGTTCTTGAATATCTGACAACCCAAACTTAAATGTTGATGCTTTTTTTTTTTTTCTTTTTCCATTAGGTCTTGTGATGTCAAATGGAAATCCATGGAAAGTACAGAGGAGGTTCGCTCTTCATACGTTGAGAAACTTTGGTCTGGGAAAGAAGACAATGGAGCGATACATCCAGCAGGAGTGCCAGTATCTCACTGAGGCTTTCTCAGAACAGCAAGGTCTCCACAAAGATTTATTTTCACACTTAAATTATGTCCAAACCATTTTTATGTTGGACCAGGTGTCTTGTAAGCCTGTGCAAACAGTCTAAACAGTTTCCTGTACTTCCTGGTGTGGCCCTCTGCTGCAGCAGACCCTCTGCTGCATCCCGATATGGATGCTGAGAGACACTGAGAGATGATTGTGCTCGAAATCATACATCGGCCCCGGTCCGTTTCCCCATCAACAGCAATCGTGCAACTTCCAAGTCACTTGACACGCTTTTCTTGACAATTCCGATGCTTTGCTTAAACTTCATTGTCATTTTAACCGCAACTACAAGCATAAAAGCACTGAATTATAGTGATTTGCTACTTTGCTATTTTAGCTTTTCATTACTATCTGTTGATCTTGTGAACATAAACTGAGGAACCTTTCTTCAGAAAACTCTGTAAAAGTATTATTGATTTCCATTAGATCGACTCAGATCTCCTGAAGAAGCTGTCACACCCGACTGTTTTCTTAATTTGCCAACCTAGTGCTTTTTGTACCTTTTCAGATATTCGTTCTTTGAACAAAAAACCTTCACTCTTTTCATTCTGCACAGATAAGACGTTCAGTGGCCAGGCGCTGATCAACAACGCCGTTTCCAACATCATCTGCTGTTTGGTCTTTGGGAGTCGATTTGAATACAACGACAAGCAGTACCAGACTATCCTTAAGTACTTCAACGATATAATCCTCCTACAGGGAGGTTTGTCTGTTCAGGTAAGCCTTCTCTCTGAAAACACATCGCATTTTACAGCAAAATTGTCCACGTGCAATTCTTCAGTATTGTAGACAGTGACGGTTCTTTGGGTCTATTCAGTCAACTTAAGAAACACTGGAGGGTCTATTACGTTTTTATTTAAACACTGGAGGTTACATTGAAATTAATTTAAAACTATTTCCACTACATTCACCTTTCTCTTCAGATTTTCAACTCAATGCCCGGGTTGATGAGGTGGCTGCCTGGACCACACAAAAAATTATTCACGCTTTTACTGAAGCTGATTGACTTTATAGACATTCAGATCAAGGAACACAGAGAGAACCTCGACCCGTCGTCTCCAAGAGACTACATCGACGCCTTCCTCATAGAGATGGGAGAGGTGCGTTTTCTGTTCGCTCTAAAATATCCTCCACACATTTTGAACAGGTTCTTGGAGCTGCTCTGGTGTCTTTGTTAGAAAGAGGACAAAGATTCTGGTTTTGATCTCGTCAACTTGAGCTCTTGCGTTCTGGATCTGTTCGGTGCCGGAACTGAAACTACCACCACCACGTTACACTGGGGGCTGCTGTACATGATCTACTACCCTGAGATTCAAGGTTCATATCATCTTTAATTACCTTTAAATTTATGTGGTGTGTACTTTCTCACTCGCAAGAAAAAGCATTTTTGCTGTCTGTGCAAAAGCTCATATTTTATCCTGTTTTCTGTGTCTTCAGAGCGGGTCCAGGCTGAGATAGACGTCGTGATCGGCCCATCCAGGCAACCCGCTCTGTCCGACAGAGAGAACATGCCCTACACTGACGCCGTCATCCACGAGATACAGAGGATGGGAAACATCGTCCCGCTGAATCTAGCACGACTTGCAAACAAAGACACCACTTTGGATAAATACTTTATCCCAAAGGTGCAGTTTGAATCATATCTACGCATAGAGGGTAACATAAAGCAGAGGTGAACCTACCCAGCAGAAGCTGCTTTACAGATCTGGGTATTAACTAGTTACTTTTACTCAATTACATTTACTTGAGTCACTTTTCTGAAAAACAAAGTACTTTCAGAAGTATTTTTTTTACTATGCTGTGCTTTTTACTTTTACTTGAATAATTTTTTTATTTATATATTATTTATTTAATAATATATGAATAAATATATGAATAAATTAATTAATAATTTATTATTACTAATTTTACTTGAGTAAAATGTCTGTATTGTCTACCCACTGTGAGTAACTTCACTAAATGAAGAAAAAGCACATTTCATCCTGAAGATTACAAAATTTCCACTTTTTGATTAATCTAATGATATATTAAACTGATTTAAAATCCCTCCGTCCGTTCATCCCTATTTTATCAAAAAGATTAAATTAATTAAATGAGTTTATTTGTTTCTTCTTTTCATCTAGACTTACTTTACTCAGTTCAGGGAAAGTTTAAAATTAATGTCAGCGTTTTATTTTATTGAGCAGCTACATCTAATTATCTTTGGCACATCATTGGAAATGAATATTTCATTTTACAAAATTAAAAACCTCAAAATAATCACCCATGAATGTAGAGTGGGGATCAAACTTGTCTCTGTTTGTCAGCTGGTTCTGAAGGCATCAATAATGTTATTGATCCTTTTTACTGATGATTTTCAGGGAACCATGATTTTGCCTTCACTTCACTCTGTCCTCCATGACGAGTCCATGTGGGAGACTCCACACACCTTCAATCCTCAGCACTTCCTGGACCAGGACGGTAAATTTAGGAAGAGAGACGCCTTCATGCCTTTTTCTGCAGGTGAGTTTTGTTTGATTTGGTCCTTCAAAGTTGAGCTCTCTTCTACTTCCTGTAAAGTCTTAAAAACATACAAACTGACAAACCAGAAAAAAAAAATTACTGGTTCTTGTAATCAGTTAAGTTTCATAGATGAACTTTTTTTTTCTTTACCAGTAACAGTAAAGGATCAAAATGACAAACACGCACCGATGTCTCGCTCTCTGCTGAAGCAGTCTAAAGGAACAATCGGCATCTCAATTTCCTTTTGCTGCTTCTCACAGTTTTTGTCCTTCACTTGACTTTCTCTTAAACTCCTCACTGATGCTGAATAAAGTTAACTTTCAGGCTTCCTCCCTCAGTAACTGCTCCCACAGTGAAGAGTGTTACGGAGTAGAGCTTACGTGTTGTGAGTTCACCGAGCAGAAAAAGCCACTATTGTCAGGTTTCCCATCAGTCACCACACTGAGCTGCTCCAGCTAAAATTCATCTGAAACAGGAAGCCACCTGTTTAGCACCTCCAGGTTTATTTTTATTTGTTTCTAAATGGTAAGTCTAAATGTCAGCTGAGGCCTTTCTGTGTCGAGGTTGCACATTCTGCTTCTGCATGTATCATTTGTTTCTGGGTTCTCCAGCTTCTTTCCGCAGGTCAAAATGGGCTAAATTGTGAATTTAAATTGCCCCTAAGGTTGAGAGTGAGTCTGTCTTGTTCATAACTGTGTGAGGCTGGATAAAGATGGACACCACTTTCTGAAGAGCTGGAAAAACCCTTCTGGGAATGGTTCAGTTGGAGGAGAGTATCATATCATGATCTCAGTAAGAACCAGATCCTGAGAAGCTGCATAAAGCAAATAGAAAGCTCTGAAATATAACAAGTGTGTGCAGGACCTCTATTTACATTATGCCAAAGTAAATAGAAGGAATGAAGCTCAGCAAGGAAAGATTAAACACCAGATTGTGTTTTGAAAGCGAACATCTGGACGCACTTAAGATTTCACAAGTTCATTGGGATGTGAAAGCTAAACTAAATGACTCATGTCAGGCTGGTAAAGCATGATCGGCAATAATTAATTGCTTTGGTAGCAAAACAAATATAAGCCGTAGTTACACTGATCTATTATCTGTACAATCAACCAATAGTCTTAGCATTTAGTCAATGTTTACCAAGCCAACGTTGCTCCTTCTGTTACGGATAACAACCAAAAATGGAGTAATTTTCATAGGATCTCGAGTTTTGAGTTTCAGTCACTGCTGATCCTACATGCACTCATATTTTAGCAACAAAATCCCCCATTTTGCAGTAGAGAGTGCAATTCAGAACCTTCCAGCATGCAACTTCACCTGATGACCTCTCACCCTAATGTACAGTAGGGTGAGAAGTCACAGTGTGACGATAAACCTTGTCTCCCGCATTTTTGATTCCCAGGTAAGCGTGTGTGTATCGGGGAGCAGCTGGCCAGGATGGAGTTATTCCTCTTCTTCACCTCCCTCCTGCAGAGGTTTAAGTTCTCGCCTCCACCTGGAGAGCAGCCCAGCTTGGAGTTCAAACTGGGAGCGACTCGCAATCCCAAGCCTTACCGACTCCGCGCCACGCCTCGCTGAGCTGAGCACAGCCTCTCCTTTCTTGTATTGCATTAGTCAAAGAAACAACTCTACGAGCTGTCGATCCTCTGGACATTAAAATTAAGCAGTGCAGTGTGTCTTTGCTATGAAAAAAGAGTATTATATCTCTTTATGTAAAATCAGTTTAACAATTACAATTGGTCCTGAAAATTTGTTGACAAATAAATGGTGTCGCAGTGTGTTGTATTCACCAAAATGAATATATTTTTATATATTACTCAGTTCCAAAAAGCCTCAAACATGTCATCTCATTCATTTTTATCCTGGGGCAATAAATGCAACAAGTTCCTTTCACTCACACTCACTTCTAAAGTTTCAGTAGAAATACATCAAATGTTGCATTCCTGTTATTTCCTAGAAAGGGCAATACATTTAAATGAACTTGGTTTGCACTCTACAAGTACCTGAGCATTTTGCCTTGTGGCCAGAAACCTTTAGTGAGTTATGCTTTGATGATTTATTTTGTAACCCGAGTCTCTGAATCCAGCATCTCTCTGATTTCAGTGCTGTATCTTTGGCTCATAGCCAAATATTACACATCAATCCGTACTCTCATTTTAAAAATCATAACATTTCATGTTTGCTCATATTTGGTCTGTTTTTCTCAGTTGCGGATTGTAAAAATAAATGGGAACAAAGAACCCTTCCTTCCGTTTCCTCTGTTTTCTGAGAAGAGGCCCCGCCGGGGGCCAGACAGCCGGGCGGGTGGGACGTGTCCGCTCATGGCCTTTGAGTCCAAACAACAAGCATCCGATTTAAAAGCAGCCATAGAAAACTCAGCGACAGCCAACCAGTGAATCTAATCGATAGAAATAGCTTGAAATTTACCTGAAAGATGTTTTAGAAAATGTTCAAACAGAGATGGAGGTGGCGTCAGGCAAACTGGGTGATAAGTGACTCCCATTATGTTTTTCCTGTTACATAAGAAAGTTATATAACAGTTTCCCTCCAATGAGTCTCATGCAACAGGAAAAACATGTGGGAGCTGGCCCTGTTCCAGCTGGTTGCAGAGGGGAAAACTATGCAGCACGGCATATCAGAGCCTGGACGATTTGAACAAAACACTTTTTGACTAAGACTTCTCTGCAGCTGTATGGAGAATGCAGTGTTGTATAAAGTACTGAAATCTCGGAGTCAAGTAAAAGTATAGGTACTGCTCCAAAATATGATTTTGGTAAAAGTCATATGACTGACAAGTTACTTGAGTTAAAGTATTAAAGTATCTGAAATGTCTTGTACTTAAGTATGGAAATTACTGGAAAAATGGATGTACTCAAGTAATGTAATGAAAAGTACAAGTAAAAAGTAAAACAAGGCAAGACATTTTTTATATTTTGGTAAACTTGTCAAATACACTTAAAATAATGTACACAACCAAGTACAGGCAAAATGAAACCTGCTAATAGATAAACCTGTAGGCATCATTTAGTTAAGAAAAGTAGGTGATTTATCTAAACCACAAGGTTAACTTAACCTGCTTTACAACTGAACCAGCTTCTTAGTAAACCCTCCAGGACAGAAAATACAAGGTTTTTATAAGCCTCAAGTTTTCCCTTTCAGTAAGGTCAGTGCTGAAAATGAGAAAAATAAATAGTCAGTACAGAAAATGCGGCCAACATGAAGAAAAAAAGCTGTTACGATTACTCTACTTCACAAACTATAGGTGCACACAACTGGTCATTATGCAAAAGAAAAAAAGAATTGGGAGGGAAATGCAGCTTATTTGACATCTGAAGAGGGAGAGCTTTTTAGTTAACTTGGTGTTTAATGGGAGAAGCGAAACAGACCTCCACGAAGCTGACACCCCACCTACGTCAAAAAATGTTGGTTGTTCTGTAGCGGATATCCCATTATTCCCCCTGGAATCACTGGGTTCTTCTGTACCGTGTGAATTCATCCTTGCAGAAGTATTGACTTACTTATGTGACACATAAGAGACAGGAGACATTATTAATATTAACCAGCAACCACACTGCCCTGCTCTGCCCGAACACTCAGAGAAAAGAAGGGAGGAGGCTCCGCCTTTATCACCTTTTATAAGTGTGTAAACTTCTGCTTCACAAAGTAGTGCCAACAAAAATACAATAGTGGCAAACATCATATTTAACACCCCCACTTGATAGTGTCACACATTCTAGCATCATATTCCAGTTCCTCCTAGATTGTTTGAGTCCATAGACAGATTTGTTCAACTTACACACAAGTTTTTCACCACTCTGATTTAACCTGGAAACCTTCAGGTTGACCCATTTATGCACCCATTGAACATTTCATGACCGTTTTATGGTCAATGGGTCAGTGTATGGTCTGGTTCAGTGTAAGGTCATGTTGTGCAGCTAGTTGCATCAACACATGCAGTGACGTCACGTTTGCAGTTGGAGAAAATGTCTCTGAATAGTCAAGTCCTTCTACCTGGCGAATGACGATCAAAACCGACAAAAATTCCTGTCTTGCCCTTAGAATCAAGTTTATTTCTATTTTGTTCATACACTATACATTTGGAACCAAACTGTTTGATTTATGACAGATCTGGCCTCTTTCCTGTAAAAAGGAAATAAGGCCTTTCCCCTGTTCTCTTACAGTAACACCTGTTCCTTATGACTGTAGCTGTCCTGGCTGCGTAAGGCCAAAGCTCTTTGCTACGGCAATCAGCATGCATCGGACCATCTCAAATAATGTGCGTCAATTTCCAAAATATATACTTAAGATTACAATTACTGAAAATATTGAGACTGACTAAAGATTCACTAGAGAACAGTGTGTCTCGTGTAACAGCATGCATTTTGTGTCAGTTGGTCACAAGGCAAGAAATCTATTTCCATTAGTTTCTCAGGAGAGTTTGGATGTAAAATTTGTTGACTCTCCTTGAGTGAAACTCCGACACCTTGAGGAAGGGGGAGACCTAGAGACCGGCTGGCCGAAATTAGCCTTCATGAATCGGATCAACCTTGAGCCAGGCGCCGCTCACACCGGATATTGGAATAGCCAAAATCCAAATTGAAAACAACTTTGCTGCGTTTGTTTTAATGGCACAAACCTGCACAAACGGAGCACTAACGAACCAGCCCACTTTGGTTTGCTTTGGAGCAAAATGGGGGGGATGGTGAACTCTGGATGGCCTAAAAAATCATTTTTAATATCTCGGAAACCAAAGCTGCACAAACGGAGCACTAACCAATCAGACTGTTTGCTGGGCTTTTTGATGTAGGTGGGGAGGTGCGAAACCTGTGCATCCTATTGGTGGTGATGAACAAGCGCAGGCAAGCAGGCTTTGTTGCAGTCGGTCAGTAGGTTGGTCAAAACACAGTTTCTCTCTCTCTTGCTTTTTTGTAACGAGTAACTAAACCACACATTGAAAATGGATCGGAGTAAAAGTATGCAATTGAGTTCGGAAATATAGTGAAGTAAAAGTGAAAGTTCTCAAAAATTTTCATACTCGAGGAAAGCATGAAGTACTCCAATATATACTTAAGTAAAGTAGTGAAGTATTTTTACTTTGTTACTATACAACACTGGGAGAATGTGTGCTTGAAGCGATCAATAAGAAGGGGAAACAGATTGAAGACAAGTTGTACAGGAAAATATTTCGCAATATGAAATGAGAACATCGTTTTTTTTCTTTTCAGTTCTTTTCTTCATGCATTAAGCAAGTCAGAGGCAGATAATGAGCAACAGTGTTAGAAAAAATCTGTCTGTACTTTGTTTATGGGTGTGCTTTAACGCTCCATTCTTCCTAGTAAGTCCATCACTTTGACTTTAAAAAGCAGATTATTTGACTCAACATTTTCCCATCCATATCTACATGGCTTTTTTTTTTTTTACCTGAACACAAATGCAGTTAAAAAGCATCAAGAACGCAGAACTTCAGATTATAGATGGAAGCATAAACTTAGAGGGTTTTTATTGCAGCTTTTATGTTCACAATCTTTAGCCTATTTGCAGGGTGTGACGTGTTCACTCATCTCTTACTCATAGTGCATGATAACTTTTGCCACTGGTAAACAGAATGGTTAAATACTAACAGTCAGAGATTCTTTTGCTTCATTCATAGCTCACCTCAAAGAGCTGCACCTGTCAGCAGAGCACAGGTTGAACAATGGATGCTTTGTACAGTCTCCTTGGCTTTGAGTGGCTGGACACCAGAAGTGTCTTGATATTTTTCTTTGTGTTTCTGCTGCTGAGCGATATCTTAAAGAACAGAAAACCACAAAACTTTCCTCCAGGACCACAGGCTCTCCCGTTCATTGGAGATCTTTATCGCATCAACCCTGCCAGACTTCACCTGCAGTTCACAGAGGTACAGTTAGTTCCCACATGAGCAGAAATGTGATGTTCTTCCTCTTTTGTCCTTTTTTTACTTTCCTTATCGAGCCCTTTATGAACTCAGCCATGGTGACATGTTAAGTGTTCAAACCTTCTTTAAAAAAATGTATCTTTTATCACATTAAATTTATTGTACCATCAAACAATTTTTCTAATCAAATAAAGATAACCTGAGTAAACTGTTTACACTCTCCTTGGATGGTTGGTGGTACTGGTGACTTACTGCAGTCTCACAACAGTGGGGGCTGTTGTGTGAGGTTGAATAATTTCATGTATATACAGTTGGATTCACCATCACACATGACTTGCGCTGTAGAACCAACTTCCTCCGACTCTGGAGTTTCCCATAAAGAGAGAAAACGCTCCTTCAAAGTTAGTAGTCAGTCTCTGCCGCCACTGTTTTGGTGTTTTGCTCACTGTTATTGGCCAGATGGAGCTAAAGATGGGGGCAGCACTGAAGTAGTGTGGCTGCTTTCTATGCTGCAAAATGGAAGACAATGCATAAATAAGTTGAAATAGTCCTGAATTTTGGACAAACAGTTAAACAAGATCCTCAGGCAGCAATTGTGTCTCAATGTCACTTTGTTGAAAACTGAAATCTGTTGTCTGTGCTCAGTTTGCAGAAAAATATGGCAAGGTTTTCAGTCTCCATGTCTTTGGAAGAAGGACGGTGATCGTAAACGGGTACAAACACGTGAAAGAGGCACTTGTTGAAAAAGGAGAGGACTTCCTGGGTCGTCCCTCCATTCCATTGTTTTCTGAGATTTTCGAGAACAAAGGTATGGTGTCTCTTTACATTCCTGTTGAAAATCTTTCTAAGTCGCTCTTTCATGTTAAGCAATATCTTTTGTATCTGACTCCACAAACCTTAATGTTGACACAGTTTACTATTTCTGAAGGTATTGTGATGTCAAATGGTAATCCATGGAAAGTACAGAGGAGGTTCGCTCTTCATACGCTGAGGAACTTTGGTCTGGGAAAGAAGACCATAGAGCAATACATCCAGCAGGAATGCCAGTATCTCACTGAGGCGTTTGCTGATCAGCAAGGTATAAATTAAGCAGACAACCTAATAATCAAACATTTAATTGTCATTGCTGCAGTTCTTCACATTATTTTTATTTTTTATGTTTATTATTCCTCGGTTTTAGTTAGCTTGCAATCTGTTATTATTTCAAAGACAAGGCGTTCAATGGCCAGGCGCTGATCAACAACGCCGTGTCCAACATCATCTGCTGCTTGGTCTTCGGGAGTCGATTTGAGTACAACGACAAGCAGTACCAGACTATCCTTCGTGACTTTAATGAGATTGTGCGCTTACAAGGAAGCTTTCTCATACAGGTCAGCCTTCTCTCCTAAAAATGTGTTGTACAAGCATTGATTATGAAAGTATTTTATATGAGCTGCAGCCTAAGAGCGACGGAGGATTGGAAAAGTGTAACTTTGTCTACGATGGCCCGTCTTTCTCAGGGCTGTGGAAAAACAAAATGCACCTTGCTGGTTTTAATGAAAAACATGCAGTTTATTTAAATTGAGTACAAGTGTCTTCAAAACACATTTAAAAATCCTATTGCTATTAATTAATATCCATAACATATTAGCAGCAAAACAATTTCTAACAGTAAAAATGATGCATCTTCTTTGCTATTCAGATTTACAACACAATCCCCTCAGTTATGAAGTGGCTGCCAGGACCTCATCAACAAATCTTCACTCTCTTAAAGAAGGTAATTACGTTTATAGAAATACGGATCAAAGAACACAGAGAGAACCTTGACCCGGCATCTCCAAGAGACTACATCGACTCCTTCCTCATAGAGATGGGAGAGGTGAGTTTTGGATTTCTTTATTCATTATGTGAGATGTTCAATGTCTTGAGTATGTTTTACCTTCGATTAGCCAAGACTGTCTTGAATTTTTTGAAGGGATCTTGATCAGAAGTTCCCATCGGTTCCTGAAAGCCTCTCAAGTGTTATTGTATTCATTTTCCATTTGTTATCTGCAGAGCAGAACAGATCCTCTTATAGGGATGAACCACATCTACTTTTATAGGAAAATAGGTTAACACACACACAAAATGCTGCCTCTGTGCATAATTTTTAGAGATCTTTATTGGCTTTCAAAATTATTATGCCCCTCGAAGTAATTCACATTTTGTCATCTTACAATCACAGACCTTCATGAACTTTATTGGCTTTTATGAGATTGACAAACACATTTGCAAAGTAGCAGGGAAAAGATGAATGGACTGAAATTTATATTAAATGTCCTTTTGTTTTTCACAGAAAAAGTTGTGCTTGAATTTATTTGCCATGTTTTGAGTCAGTAGTTTGTGGAAACACTTGTTTCCCAACTACAACTTGAAGTCTTGTGACATTTCTTTACCAGCCTCAAACATGTAAGAAAAATTTGCCCTGAGGTTTTTTTTTTTTACAAAACAGGCAAAATTCAGCCAGATTTGATAAAGAGTGTCTGACAACATCAGTTTTCACATCTTACTAGAGGGTCATATACCTCATTTGGTGGCACACATGCTTCTGCACAGAGACATTAAAGCCTGTAAAAGTATAAAACTTAAAAACAACATTAGGAAGTCTGGCTAAGTAAGACTTTGGAGGTGATTTAAAATGATTTAAACGCCTCTCTCTGGTGTCTTTGTTAGAAAGAGGACAAAGATTCTGGTTTTGATCTCTTCAACTTGAGCGCTTGCGTTCTGGATCTGTTCGGTGCTGGAAGTGAAACTACAACCACCACGTTACACTGGGGGCTGCTGTACATGATCTACTACCCTGAGATTCAAGGTTCGTAAAAGACAAATATCTTAAATAAATCTGTTGCTGTTGTTTGCATCTCCTCAAGTCTTTGCATTATGTGTTTACTGGGAGAAGTCATGTGTATGATAGAAAAACTTGTTTTCTGTCTTCAGAGCGGGTCCAGGCTGAGATAGACGCCGTGATCGGCCCATCCAGGCAACCCGCTCTGTCCGACAGAGAGAACATGCCCTACACTGACGCCGTCATCCACGAGATACAGAGGATGGGAAACATCCTTCCACTGAATGTGGCCCACATGACGATCAAAGACACCACCCTGGATAAGTACTCTATTCCAAAGGTGTGTAACCCACATTATTTAATTTAGAGCATGGATTTGGTATTAAAATTATATATCAGGCGTAAAAAAAAGAACGTTTCTACCAAATGACACCAAGAAGATTTGTGAGGGTGACTATGTCTCTGTGAAATGAGTCATTGTCGCAATCCAAACGTGAAGGTGCTAAACTCCAACTTTCCTTCATTTTTCCTGTCAGTCCATGAATCTGTGTGTTTGTGAAGTAAACTGGCCGCCATGACCAGGAAAGTGTTCTTTAAATTTAGACTATTTGCTTCTTACATTACGGAGGTAACTAAGAAATATGACAGTGAACCAAACAAGCCTGTGGTATAGAAGGGAGCATTATTTGTTATAATCTGTAGGAAGCTGTAAAAAGCCCTGTAAATAGCAGTAAAGCACTGAGAAGAACAATTTGTAATGTTTGCCTTTTTTAAGGGAACCTTGATAATAGCTCCACTTCACTCTGTCCTCCATGACGAGTCCATGTGGGAGACTCCACACTCCTTCAACCCTCAGCACTTCCTGGACCAGGACGGTAAATTTAGGAAGAGAGACGCCTTCATGCCTTTTTCTGCAGGTAAGATTTTCTGTGTTGAAGGAAACCTTTATCAAATGAAAAACTGCTTAAATTCCTGTCAGATTCAAGACAGGACTATAAAATTCAACAATGACCACCAGTCATCAGTAAAATTAAAAGACTTTGCTTATGCCTTGGCAATAACAAACATGTATTGGAAGGACAATCTGGACTGATGAGTCACTATGAGGCAATATTTTGGTGGCATGTCAGGAAAAAATACCTTTTCTGTTCTACCATTACAAACATAAATGTACAGAGTTTATGTTTAGCGTTTCCCTACTATTGAGCACAAAAGAGTGTTTTTGGCATTTAAAAACTAAACATGATGGCATATTCTTAATTCAACCACAGAGCTTCTCGATTCCAGTCTCTGAAGGAACCAAACAGAGTTACATCACATCATCAGTTTACAGTGGAAAAATGAGGTGTTATGTTTCCTCAGGTAAACGTGTGTGTCTCGGGGAGCAGCTGGCCAGGATGGAGCTGTTCCTCTTCTTCACTTCCCTCCTGCAGAGGTTTAAGTTCTCGCCTCCCCCAGGAGAGGAGCCCAGTCTGGAGTACAGGATGGGAGGAGCTCGTAGTCCCAAACCTTACCGCCTCTGTGTCACACAACGTTAGACCAACAGGAGGGTTGACAGAACCTCCTGCACCCGCTGCACTGTCTCTGGAATCAAAGATCTCAGTAGCAGCTGTGTCTGAAAACCTGCTGGTATTACAGCTATTGACATATCAAAACCTTAATCCTGAGAACAGGAACATGAAGAATCCATTCGGCTGACTTCAAAGATATTTCATTATCAGTGTTCGGGATGCCTCACATCATGCATCTTGCCTGTTTAAATCAATTTCTGCTGGCTGTGATTCATGTCCATTTAGATTTTTACTGCTCAGAGACTTAATGTTTTTAATGTAATATCAACTTCCTTAAGATATAATAAATTACACAAATGACCAACAACTCTCAGGATTGTTTTTAATGTCTTATTAATGTATGATTCACAGAACGAAGGCAAAAGGGAGTCCAATCTCTTGGCAGTCTCCTCCCTCACTACAAAAGGAACATGATGGGTTGGTCCAGGCACACCCACCTCCAATCTCTGTCATTCCACACACACCGTGACTCTATCTTGTTAGGTCATCTGATTCAGTAAAACAATCAAGTTCCATATTAATATTTCATCAGCTCCTACAGCAATCACCATATGGTGTTCATGGCATCCATTAAAACCTGGATCTTCCCAGTGACTCTGCTTCTCTGTCCCTTTTGGTCGACAGGCACTAGCAAAGTGTACCTAATGAAGTGGCCGGCAAGCATAGAGGAGAGCTGTACGAAACAGACAAGATTTATATCCACATGACAAAATACACAAAGCATATCACTCTTGTGGCACAGGGGTTTCGGCGAACCACAGGTTTATTCATGAACTGGAATTGAAACAAAAAATAAAAAGTATTATTTTTATTTTTGAGGTGAGGTACTAGGTTTGGTTTGCTCTCACCATTGTTTCAGTAATTAATTCATTACTTTTTTCAAGTAAAAAAAAATCTCTCTTAAAGTATTTAACAAATATATTTGCACATGAAAATGTCATCTGACTTTTTCCTGCTGATTTTTTTCTTTCTGGCTATAGAAACTAATTATAAAAAATAAAAAACTTGGAATAATATTAATTTGTTGTAAAAACAGCATCTGTAACCTCTTGCCACAAGGTCATAGAGAGAGGAAGACCAATGCTTTTATTTTGAAAAAACCAGGTAGGTTCGGGCTCACCTGGCAGACCCGCAGCTGTGTCGCCGCGGCACCGTGTCGGAGTCATGGAGGCGCTGCACAGCCTCTTCGGCTTGGAGTGGCTGGACGCGCGGAGTGTCTTGATATTCTCCTGCGTGTTTTTGCTGCTCAGCGATATTTTAAGGAACAGGAAACCGAAAGACTTTCCTCCCGGCCCGCGGCCTCTGCCTTTTATCGGAGATCTTCACCGCATCAAGCCTGCAAGACTTCACCTGCAGCTCACAGAGGTGAGAGTTCTTACACGGGCAGACATATAGTACTGTTTTATTATCATATTTTCATGCTCGAACTGGACCCGAATTTTGATGGTCAGGTTGTGGTGCGTTTTTAATAAACCACATAAGGTCTAGTGTGAACCATAAACAGGCTTGCATATGTCACAGAAACAATTAAACTATAATTGATGATGTAAAGTTGTGTTAATGTACTTATTGCGGCCTATATAGAGGAATCGGTAGTTTACCATGTAGAGGAAAGTAAGTTGTAGAAGTTAATTAGACTGTAAAGCACTAAGTAATATGCATTAAAGTAACTCGTAGATTTCCCACAACATCACGTCATGTGATCCAAATTTCATTTTCAACCGATATGCATAATCAATACATAATCAAAGGACCAAAATACAATAATCCACGTGGCTCAGACGCAGATAAAAACAATTATAAGAAAAAATCTGTGGCTCCTGCAGTTAATTATTGTACAGGACTGTTAGGTTGTTTGAATTAAACTATCTGTGGATGTCAGGAAATAAAAAGTAAGAACAGTTTTAAAACAAATTTTGTGAGAGAACTTTATGCTCACAAACAACACCCATGTTTGCCTCAGTGGTCAGGCTTGTAACTACAGTATGTTGTTGCCCTGGCCTGAACTTTTCAGTATTTGCATCCCTCAGATTCAGGCTTGTCAACCTGTGAAATCAATATTTCAGTTGTGTAATAGTCACTGGGTAAACAAAGAGTGTTTTTGGTGGGAGAGCTGATGTCTCCCGCTCTTCATATGTTTGATATCTGCATCGCCGGTAGGGGTGTACGATATATGGGCCAGCCGATTGATCGGTGCCGATTTCCTTAATTTTGGGAGATCGGTGATCGGACGATTTTTACATATGAAGCAAGATAGGTCTTGCAAAGGTCTAAGAATCAACCACTGTCCTCTTTTGCTCTCTGGTGAGAAAGGTTTGACTGACAGACCGGCCCACCAAGTTACAATTAACAGTAGTGACCCCACTGTTGCCAACTCCAAAACGTCTTGCTATATTTAACAACATTTCAGAAAAACTCGAATTGGCATGAGCCAAAATCGGAATCGGAACGTTAAGGTTTTTTTAAAAAATCGGTGATTGGCCAGAAAACAGTAATCGGTGCACCTCTAATTGTCGGATCTTTTTCCAATAAAGTAGTAATGCTCATGCAATCATTCTCGTTGTTCAGTTTGCAGAAAAATATGGAAATATTTTCAGTCTCCATCTGTTTGGGGAAAAAGCCGTGATCATTAACGGGTATAAACACGTGAAAGAGGCACTTGTTGAAAAAGGAGAGGACTTCATGGATCGCCCCTCCATTCCACTGTTTACAGAGATTTTCAAGAACAAAGGTGTAGTTTGTTAAATTTGTAATTAATTTAGTCTAAAAATGTGTCAAAATGTTGAGTGGGTGAGGATGTAATAAAACTGACCTGAATGCTAATGCATCTTTCTATATATATTTTTTTTACTTATTAATAAAAAAGGTATTGTGATGTCTAATGGAAATCCATGGAAAGTACAGAGGAGGTTCGCTCTTCATACACTGAGGAACTTTGGTCTGGGGAAGAAGACCATGGAGCGATACATCCAGCAGGAGTGCCAGTATCTCACTGAGGCGTTTGCTGATCAGCAAGGTACAATTTTTTTTTTTTTAATCTCAAAAAATGCGCTGTTCTTGACTCTTGCTATAATATTTGCTTTTATTATTGCAGGCCTGCTACTGTTATTTCAATATTACAATCTATACATCTTTTTTTTAATGTCTTTAATGCTTTTTGTATTTGACTCTGTTTCATCTGCAATCTGTTTTTCTTTGAAAGGAAAGCCTTTCTCTGCCCAGGCGCTGATCAACAACGCCGTGTCCAACATCATCTGCTGTTTGGTCTTCGGGAGTCGATACGAATACAACGACAGGCATTACCAGACTATCCTTGAGAACTCAAATGAGATTTTGCGCTTACAGGAGGGTTTGTGGGTGCAGGTAAAGTTTCTTTGCACACATATTGCACACTCAGAATGCAAATAATGTGTAGCCATAGTTCCAGCGCCCCAAAACAAGATTTGCTCAACAGAAGATCCAAATATAGCTGAAGATATACTTTACTACATATTCAGCAAAATGATATTTGCCTCAAGGTTTTTCACCAAGGATGAGATTTTATCTTCTTTGATCCTCAGATATACAACGTGATTCCCTCTGTGATGAAGTGGCTACCTGGACCCCAAAGGAAAATATTTGATCTCCTCCAGAACATAGTTGACTTTGTAGAAATCCGTATCAAAGAACACAAAGAGGACTTCGATCCCTCATCACCGAGAGACTACATCGACTCCTTCCTGTCAGAAATGGGAGATGTGAGTGTTGAATTCAGTAATAAATTACATAGACGGTAATCATTTGACTATTTTGGATGTTTGGGTTTGTAGCCCTCTGGTCTCATGTCAGTGTTCATCACATTTTTGCTTCAGTTCTGTCCTAAAGAAAGGCAGACAGGTTCGTTTTTTCATACATAATATGTTTGCGTGTTATTTATGTCATTTTGCTTGCACTGAGCACGGGACGCCGCACAGACAACACTTCATACATAAAAAGCAAACATATTCAAATGGAGGATATTGTGTAAAGTTGACCTTTTAGCTTCACATTATATTATAAAGTTATTCCCTCATCGAAAACATACATGGAATGTTGCTTTAATTCTTACAAGCATGTTTGAGGAATCAGTGAATCTTCTCTTGCTCCAACAAAGCTCCCTCTCTGAGCTGCAGCCTTTCACAGAGCACAACAATGGAGACGATATTTTTTATAACAACTGAAGGTCACACGGTCATTTGAATTTACAGGAACCTTTTCCTCCATATTTCTCATTTGTAGCAAGAATAAACCTTCACAGTCAGGGAGATTAAAGTCTGCAGAAGTACTTTTGAGTTTCTCTTAAAAACAACATTAGAAAGTCTGGCTAAGTCTTAAGAGATCAGAGGGAGATTGAAAAGCTTGAACAGCACAATGCTTATAGTACTTATGTAGACATGTTGCCACTCCTGTCTCTCTTATTGTTGGCAGGAAGGGAACACAGATTCTGGTTTTGATGTCTTAAATTTGTGCGCCTGCACTCTGGACCTGTTTTTTGCTGGGACAGAAACCACCACCACCACTCTGCACTGGGGGCTGCTGTACATGATCTACTATCCTGACGTACAAGGTGTGTGAGGAACACTCAGCAGACTGGAATATGAATATAAAAACAGAGTGAGGCAGTGATTTTTCCCGCTGCTCAGACTCCAGAGTCGGTTGTGTCTTCGTTGTGTTCAGAGCGGGTCCAGGCTGAGATAGACGCCGTGATCGGCCCATCCAGGCAACCCGCTCTGTCCGACAGAGAGAACATGCCCTACACTGACGCCGTCATCCACGAGATACAGAGGATGGGAAACATCCTTCCACTGAATGTGGCCCGCATGACGACCAAAGACACCACTTTGGATAAATACTCTATTCCAAAGGTATATTATTTACAGTGGACAGTGTTTTAGTTACACATTTATGGACAGAAATAAAGAAAAGAAAAAAAAACCTGCTGATTATTTTAAACATAATTCATTCATAATTTACTCACAATTTTTTTTTATGTTTCTTTGCCATAAAAATACCCAAGAAGAATTGAAAACTCAGCAGGTGTTGCCTTACTTAATAATTCCCCTGCAGGTTTATGATAAATGGGTGCGAACTACTTGCCTTTATTCACTATTTATCCTGTTTTGCTCCCTGTACAGATAAAAATCTGCTGACAAAACTGAGCAGAAATAAACATCTTACTGAGCCTCTTGTCTTTTCTCAATCTCCAGGGGACTTTGGTCATGGCGACGCTTCACTCTGTCCTCCATGACGAGTCCATGTGGGAGACTCCACACACCTTCAACCCTCAGCACTTCCTGGACCAGGATGGTAAATTTAGGAAGAGAGACGCCTTCATGCCTTTTTCTGCAGGTTGGTAGCAGTTCCAATCTGTTAAAATTCACTTTATTTCTGCTTGAGTCTTCGGAAAACAATAATCAGCTCGACTGCATAAGAGAGACTGCGGTGTTGCAGACCAAAATGAATGAACCTGAAGCGTAACCACAGTGTTTTTGTTATGAATGTGCTCCTGTGTTTGCTTGCTTTCTGCTAAGTTGTAGATAAGTAAAAACCGACAAATTGCCACGAATGGTGCTCTTGCTACATGCAGGAGATAAGGAGCTGATCAGTCCAGAATAAAGTGTGGCCATATGAATAACTCCAGTCATAAAAATAAGCATTACAGGCAAACAAAACAGTAAACCAAACTGGAGCAATCTTGACGATCTTTCGTACATCACAGTTGTGTAGCAACAGCGTTGTGTTGTGTTTCCTCAGGTAAACGTGTGTGTATCGGGGAGCAGCTGGCCAGGATGGAGCTGTTCCTCTTCTTCACTTCCCTCCTGCAGAGGTTTAAGTTCTCACCTCCCCCAGGAGAGGAGCCCAGTCTGGAGTACAAACTGGGAGCCACTCATTGTCCCAAACCTTACCGCCTCTGTGTCGCACAACGTTAGACCAACAGAAGGGTTGACAGAACGTCCTGCACCCGCTGCACTGTCTCTGGAATCAAAGATCTCAGTGGCAGCTGTGTTTTAAAACCTGCTGGTATTACAGCTATTGACATTGTTGAAATAAAGTTGTCCAAATTGTTGATGCTAGAAATGAACGGTGTGACTTAAATGGCTACATTTTAATCTAAAACACATTTCTGTGGAACATTTTGCTTAAATTTTGAACTTGTTGTTGGGAAGCATATCAATATCCTGTTAAGTTGTGTTGGTTGTGATTAATATCCATTTAATATTTTTTTTTACAGTGAAATGCTTTTGATGAAATGTTCACTTCTTTAAAAAGAAGCATGGAATGCATTTAAGCAAGAAGACATAATAGACGACACAAATGGCCAAAGATCGCATGTGATGAAATCACGACTTTCATGTTTTATCATTATCCACAAATGTTGATAATCACCTGACTTCAATAATCTTCCAGTTTATTGAAGATAAACTGGGAGATTTATCTTCAATAAATCTTCTGGTTTATGGAAGATTTAATCTTCCATAAGAAGATAAGACGAAGGATCTCGTCTTATCTTAAATGAAAAGCTTTTGTTTTGCCTCTGTCTTTAAAATCAGCGTATCTCCTGATGAGTTCTGGAGAAAAGTTGTGAAAGCAGCTGCATGTTTTCAGCTTCAGAGGTAATGTAAAAGGTTTGGAGATAAGATCAAGCTGATGTCCCACTGGGATAAATGTCACTGATAAGTGCGAGTCAGTGGGGCAAAAGCAAACCTGAATGACAAGGCAGGAATCAGTCAATAAAAAGTCAATCAAACAAATGCAGAACTGCTCACAACCCTTGAGCTTTTCCACATGTTGCCAACCAGGATGATATGACTACGACCATAAACTTTGTGGTACTTTTGTCCTGGTTTTTGTGGACGCGTTTTGTGTATTTAAGTTCTTTCTTTTGGCTGTTGATTTTTAATTTTTTTTTTTAGTCATGGTTTCCACAATGAGTTCATTCCTTTGTTTTGGGTTTCGCTCTTTCCTCCAAATTCTGTTCATGTTTCATTTCCTCGGCTTTTGTAAATCTTTTCCGTGATAAACAAATAAAATAATTTTGATAAATGAATTTGATCTACTGCTTATCTTTATTCACTATTTATCCTGTTTTGCTCCCTGGGCAGATAAAAATCTACTGACAAACCGAGCAGAAATAAACTGAGCCCTTTGTCTTTTTACATCATAAATACTCGCAGCAGTTAGACACAATAATTCAACGAAAGACTAAAGTTAACATTGCTCATCGTGTTACTTTCACTGGATGTCATTTCCCCGCAAAATGTGTTCATACAATTAAGAGTTTTTTCTTCAGGATTTTCCTGTCCATATTACTCCCACAGCATGATGCTGCCACCGCCGGCAATAGATTATTCCACATGTCGCATTGTATTTTACAAGATGGCCACCAAGAGGGAAATTTTACGCTCCCAGGATTTTCACGACTGATGATTCTTTTTTGTTGTTGTTTTTTTGTTTTTCTTTCAATTTTCTGCGCTCTCTGCTTTTATTTTGAAGGCCAACAGCGTGCCAATGCGATTCTGTGACGTCACTCAGAGGGTTTTCTCCCTGCGTTCCTGCGTGTTAAAACTTCAGCGGTTGTCAACAGGACTCCGCTCGAGGAGAAGTCATGACGTCCGCCCTGCGCGTCCTGGGCCTGGACTGGCTGGACACCAGCAGCGTTCTCGTCTTTGTGTTTGTTTTCCTGCTGCTGAGCGACGTTTGGAAGAACAGAGCGCCGAGAAACTTTCCTCCCGGGCCCTGGGCCCTTCCTTTCGTTGGACACCTTCATCTCATCGACCTCTCTCGGATGCACCTGCAGTTTTCTGAGGTAGCTCAGTGAAATAAAATAAAATAATAGTAATAATTTGTTTTTAAAAGTATTGTTGCATAAAGTGAAGCGTTTAGTCTCGTTGAGAATGAATCCGCAACTCTGACATTAAAATAACTGAACTGGCCCGATGGATCCGGATTTGAAAGGTATAGTCAAAGGAAGCACAGGATGTCCCAGACAATTTGGACCTTGGTTCTGATTGTCGAATAGTTTTACTATGTATATGCCGTGAATGCAGGCAGGGAGACTCAGAAAAAGAAAGCATAATCAGAGGTGGGCAAAGAATCCAAAAATTATGCTCAAGTAAGAGCAGCCCTACTTCAACATATTTCCACTCAGGACCCACCACACGACTCCCAGTTTGTTGAGCCACATTTCACTGCGATTAAAGCTGCAGTGTGTAACTTTCACATGAATGTTTTTTTACACGTTTGCCAACGCTTTCGCTGTGTTGTGACAATGTAAGATGAGACAAATAATCTGAGAAAAGACTTGGCTCCTCCACCTCTTCCCAGTGGTATTCTTGCTCTCTGATGAAACACCAGAGCAAAAACAACCAATCAGGCTGACGGAGGGATGCGTACACGAGGGTGATTGGCAGTGTTAAGACTTTCATCCTTCTTCTGATGTGTTGTTTCTGATGGAGCAGTGTATTTCAGTCGACAGCAGGTCCACAGAGAGGAGGCAGAGGAGCTCCGTTTTCTTCCCGTACATGTACTGGGTCAACGCACACTGAAAAAAATAAGTCATTGGATGAACATAAAAAAATTATGGAAAGGATTTCCACCTGATTACTTTGCTTTATTTCAGCACCATGTACTTGTGTTACTCCTATTTAAAGCAAATGTGTTAGGTCAACCTAATTTATTAAGATTATTCCAATGTAAAGCAAATGTGTTGGCTCAACTTGTTACAATGGTGATTCAATGGGTGATTCTAAATCAAACATGTTGGCTCA